TATTCTAAATATAATTTTTTTATCTTCTCTCTCCCCTCTCTCTCTCTCTCTCTTTCTCTCTCATTTACTCTTTCACTCTCTCTATCTTTCTCTTACTCACTCTCTGTGTCTTTCTTCCACTCTCTTTCTCTCACTCTCTATCTCTTTCTTCCCACTATCTAGAATTTTATAATATGAAATATGAATAAAATTATTACAATTTTGAATTTAGAGAAATTTTCTCCAGTTTCAATTACTATTAACATTGTATTCATATTTTTAATAATATTCACAGTTAAATTAATTATAAAAAATTATTTAGAAAATTATAAAAATTGTTTAGTAAAAGTTGTTGCTAAATCTATTTTATGCAATAGAAAGCAGCGATAAATCGCTTGAACTATTCTTCCATCTCTTTTGCTAAATATATTCAAATCTTTAGGCTGTGCTACAGGGTATTCTCTAGTCACACAGCCAATTTTTGTTAAACAGAAATCCATTTGAAATTCTATTTTGTTGCCTGAAACTAAAGTCTGCTTGTGCCATAAAGCAAACCCAAATTAACTTTAGCCGCATATCTAGCATAATATTTTATTAAAACGCTCGCTTGAACCACAGCGAATCGAGATGAAAAACCACTGCAGTGCAGACCCACCACAGGAATCTCCAATGCAACAACTACAAAAACAACTGCAACAACAAAAACAGCTAAAAAAAAAGAGCGTAATTGGAAACGCATAAAATTGGTTGCCCTGCGGCCAGCAGCTTCAGTTTCAGCTTTGCGGCGCCTTTTGCAGGGCTGCCTTTGTCTTTTTATGATTGAAAATGGCTAAATCGGGTATATTGTTTTTGTGCAAATGATGCGACAGGCAGGCGGAGGCATTCGGTCTGAGTGAGTCCATTCCAAAGACTACAAGAGATTGGGAATTGTAATTTAAATTCTATATTCTTTTACGCAGACTGAGCTCTAATATTTTTTTGATATCTCCTGGCAATTTCAAAATATCGATAAATATCGGTACTGAGACATTATTTTATAGTTCGAAGATTATAAAAGCTAGATACACCAAACTTAACATGTAAATTCTCGTATAGCGTACTCAGCTAAAGAATATTTTAAATTTTCCTCTGCTGGCGGTGTTTTAATATATTTTTTGAATATCTCCTTCCAAACTATCGATATTTATCGATTTTGTTGCATTCGTTTTTAAGCATAATTCGCAGATTATAAAAGCTAGTTTCGTTAAATCTGTCTCGTTTAGCCTAAACTTATTCAGTATTCAGAGCTTATATATATTTTTTGGTATCTCCTCCCAAACTATCGATATTTATCGAATTTGAGACATGGTTTTTTTTAGCAGGTCTCGAAGATTTAGAAACAATAGTTATAAAGATTCCTTATACACATACACAGATCAAGCATATTTCAGTTTTTGCATAACTTTCCAGCCAAACTTGTTAAAAAAAACCCATTTCTGAATGTAAAGTCTTGGGCTTCGGAATATAAACTCTTCAATGTGTAATATTTAAATCGCGAAACTTTCATCATGATCGGACTATAAAGACTGAGGTTAATGACGAACGCATTTTGCATAGTGTGGTGCATTGGCAAGAAGAAGCACAGCTGCTGTGTGTATGTGTTTGTGTGTGCGTGTGTGTGTGGAGGATTTAGCTGGACGGACGCTGGGTTCAGGGTATCGCCTTGTCGGGATTTATCGACTTGCAGCACTTTAGCTTGTTTTATTTGTTTGGCCCAATGGCTCCCTTAACACGCCCCCCCCCCCTCCTCCCCCAAACAGTCCCTGACCCCGCTCCTCCTCCCCTTTGACAAGCCTCCCCTTTGCCACGCCTCCTTTAGCGCACACTTGTATTGCGGCGCAATTTTATGGGCATACATTTTGGTATTTGGGTCAGTTTAGCTCCAGCTTGCGCTCTGTTGCCTACAGCTGTGTGTGTGTGTGTGTAGTGTGAGTGTGTCTAGTGTGAGTGTGTGTGTGTGTGTGTCTCTAGTGTGTGTGTTTGCATTGTGCCAAACAATTTGCACAGCATAATCAAAGCTGGTGCCCAGCGTCGGAGCATGCGGCGTATACGCAACGTTTATTTTTAGCAAATTGTTTAACGACGTTTTTTATTTATTCATTTAATTTTTTTTGCTCGTTTTGTTGTTTTTTTTTCTGCTCTCAGTTTAGGCACAATTAAGTTTCGCATTGAAGAACAGCATAAAACACATTTCGCTTAGAAACAAGAAGTTGTTGGATAATAAAGCGGAAAACTCCGAAAAAGTTCTTGAGTTTGATTCGTAGTCAACTGAAGCAGTTGCTGACTTTGATAAACCATATATTTTTATATAGTTTTTGTTGTTTTTCGTTGCTTTCTGTGGCTTATGCAATCTGCAAGTGGCGGCCACTTGTCAACGCGAGAAGAACGCGAAATTCGCGAAATCATTTTTAATGTACGTGACGAAATCTGATTTCAATGCAAGCGGCGCAAGTGGCCAAGAAAAATACAACCACACACGGATACAGATTGATATATATATATATATATATACATATATAAGCTATATATAAGCTATGTAGCACAAGTAGCTGCAGCCAAATGCAATTTATCAACAGTTGGGCTTAAATTGTCTGCAGCGTTACGGAAAAATGATCAAGCGAAGGATGCGAGGGAGTCTCTCTGTGTGTGTGTGTGTGTGTGTGTGTTGTGTTGTTAGCTCTAGCGTTAAATTCTCTAATAAGTGCAAATTGACAACGACAACAACAACAATAGCAACAACAACAACAATGTTGCATGCGGCCTTTTGCATTTTAATTGAATTTTTGCTCGAGAGCTTGTAAGCAATTGCGTCTATAAAGTATTCTAGCCCCTATCGAACGGGAAGTCAAATGCCGAACGTGGCGGCTTTAGCAATGAGATATATATATATATATGGTATATATAATACAAATATACATCTATACATACTTTATATAAATATATTTGTATGTGCAGCAACTGTTGCCCAGCAGCTGAGCACGTTGCCAGCTGTGTTTCTTGATAGGCAACTGAGCTTTGTTTTCAATTATCTAGTATTTTTTGTTTTTTTTTTTTGTGTTTTATATGTTCTCGATTGCCTGATGGCATAACGGTTAAGATAGTAGCGCAGTTTTGCCATACAACAAATTAACTTGGCTGAAAAGAATAGAGTTCCAGGAAATGACAACAAGCGAGAGAGACATTTTTGCATTGGAAAAGAAATAAATTCGGAAAAATAAACGTAACTAAAACAAGTTTTGTGAATATTAAATTTTAATATATACTTCTTTTTTATTAATTTATAAAGTGGAACAGATTTGAAGCCAGCTGTTTTAGTTAAGATTTTTCTATTTTTATTGTGTGTATATATTTTGTGTTATTTAGCTATTAATTTAAGTTTTTTATTGTCTCTTTTTATAACGCCTAACTTTTCGAGGCAGTTTTTCATAATATTTAAATAATATTGTTCTTTAGTAGAACACTTTAAAATGTCTGAAATATACATTTATATATATATATATGGAACCCTAAACTCTGGACATTCTTCAACAGAATCTATATGATTAAACGGGGCCCAACTAATAGCTGTAAAGCTAGCCGCAATTGCCCTTGCATAATTCCTATGGCACAAGCACTTACTTAACTCACATCCCCAATTAACCTGCCTTATCTAGCTCGCTATTATCACTTTACTACACACACACACAAACACACTCGCACACACTTGACATCAATTTGGGGCAGCAAAAATATTGACAAACATTTCGAGTGAGCGTTTTACATAACCAAAACATAAGCATAAACATGGATAACACTCGAACAACAGCAGCAGCAACAACAACAACAACTTTGTAGACATCATTATGTAGCTCATTGAATGTTGCATGTTGCGTCGCCTCAAACGTATGCGGCAACAAAATGCAAATCTTGCATCCGAAGCTGGCGATGAGCAGCGGCTGCATTTTCCTATTGGCTGATATGTAATCATTTTTGCGACAATTTGTTTAGCAAATGCAGCAACAAAAAACAAGAGGGCCAACACACACACACACACACACACACAAACACACACGCACACACATTTATTGACAACTACGTAGCGCTGTTTGTTGTTGCGCTTGTTTTTATGTTGCGTAATGTTAGGCTACATAATCGCGTTTTTTAACAGACGCGTCAGCAGCCGCCGCTCGCCGCTCTTAACAGTTAACAGCGCAAGAGCGCGCGCAGTTTAAAGAGTTTACATTGTAAATTTTAAATGCGCCTGCTCTTAAAATGTTAACACTGCGAGCAGTGCGCTGTTAAGTGCTGCTTAAATGTTGCTAGCAACATGGCATGTTAACGGCGTTAGCAACATTTTCAGCATGCATAGCTGTTAAAGTATTGTATCTTTGAGCTATGCTAATGTTGTTCTTGTGATTAAGAGCTTAACAGTGTGTTTTGGGCATTTTGTTGTGCTCTTAGCAGATTTGCGCTCTTAACAGCAGGCGCGTGCCGTGCATTAACAGCGTCTGTTGGCTGGCACTGTTAATGTTAAGCTGCAGTCTGCAGCGCTGTTTGCATTAGCGCCTGCAGCGACGTCAACGTCAGCGTCGACAGCGAACTAATTGTAGAATTTGTGCGCGTGTTGGCCGTCGCCTCAGTGGTGGGCGGATGGGTGGCTGGCTGGCCGGCTGGTTGGTTGGTTTGTTTTGGCTGCTGAGGTAAACATATATATATATATGTATATTTATATATATATGTATATAATGTATAATTGGCTAACAAGTGCTTGCCAAGCGATCGCGCCTCCATAAGATGTTGACGAGCGGCGTCGTTTTGACATTTTCATTTAGAGTAGCTGACATTAAGTGTGTAATTTTCACAATTTTCATGATTTTCCTGATGTTCGTGATTTTCGTGATTTTCATGTGTTTTACAGCGCAGCAATTAAGCGTCAATTAGCAAATGGTTCTGCTTTTCCTCTTCGTATTTTCTAATATTTTTCTACGCTTTTGCCTTTGCAGCGCCGAGCAACTTCAAGAGTCTCTGTCTGCGCGCCGAGGTGCTGCTGAAGCTGAGCCACTATCAAAGCTCCTTGGCGGATATTGAGAATGCGCTGCGCACGCGCTGCACATCGCCCAAGGTACGATACGTTCTTGACTACAGTGAATAGCCGCTATAATGATTTCTCTCTGCGCATTTTACAGGCACACTATTTGCGCGCCTTGGCGCTGAGCGGCTTGGGCCGACTGGAGGATGCCCTGTACAATGGCTTTCTGGCCATTTGCCTGGACAAAAACACAAATCTCAGCAACTCGGAAATCTTTCAACATGATCTCGCCAAGGTGAGTGCGCGTACATATATACAAATGCCTTTTTGCTATCTTTTGCTCAACTCTTTGGCATTTCAGATACTGCAACGTCTCCTGGCCCAAACGCCCAAAAGTCGCGCAGCGATTGAGTCGCTGCCGCCGTTGGCTGCGCAGCAGCAGCGCAGCTATGCCGTCGCCGCCAAGCCGCCGTACGCTCTGCTCTGGGAGCAGATGCGCCGGCGCAGGAAACAGCATCATCATGTGCACCTGGACGATGTGGAGGATGAGTTCGGTCTGAGCTGCGAGAAGCACTACGACAACTACATCATGGCCGACGAGGAGGAGGACGAGGTCGAGGTCGAGGTGGAAGTGGAGGAGGCGGAGGCGGAAGAGGCTGCCGCCCAGCTGCAAATGGACGGCGACTTTCTGTTCCCCAGCGCCCTCGACTATATCGATCAGCGCGATGTCTACGAACAGCTGAGCGCCAAGCAGTTCGAGCTGCAGGCGCGTCGGCATGCCAATCGCAAGCATTGCCGCAGAAAATGGGCAGCGGCCCAGGCCCAGGCGGGGCAGCTGCCACATGTGGCAGCCAGCTGCGAGACGCGACGCTGCAGCCGCCTGCTGAGCGGCGTGCTCGAGCGCACGCAGCTGGAGATGCAGCGACTGAAAAGTGAGTTTGGGTTTAATTTTATGCTAAAGGAATCTCTATTAATCTCTCTCTCTCTCTCTCTGTCGTAGAGCTCGAGGGCTCGGAGCAGCGGCAGCTGACCGCCGTTGGGGGCCAGCTGATCGATGCGAGCGATTTTGATTGCGTGCTGTGCTGCCGGACGCTGTGGAAGCCGGTGGTGACGCCGTGTGGACACACCTACTGTCTGGTATGCTTGGATCGTTGCATGGATTACAACTCCTCGTGTCCATTGTGCATGTCACCACTTGTGGAACTAAATGTCAATAATAATCTGTATCAGGGCTCATCCTCGCCAGTACCCTTTGCGCTGGCCAAGCGGCCAGTTACGAAATTCCTAGAAGCCGCAATGAAACGATTCATTCCAGACCACTACGAGGCGCGCTTCCGCCAGGAAATCGATCAGGAGCCCTCGGTGCCGGTATTCATCTGCACCGCGGCCTTCCCATCGGTACCCTGTCCGCTGTTCGTCTGTGATCCCCGCTACCGGTTGATGGTGCGGCGTGCCCTCGAGTCCGGCGACAAGACGTTCGGCATTGTCCAGCCGCACAGCGGCAAATCCCGATACTATGATGTGGGCACCATATTGGATATAAGGGATTGTGTCCTGCTCGGCGACGGTTGCTCCATACTGAGCACCATTGGCTGCAAGCGCTTCAAGATACTTGCGCGCAGCGAAAAGGATGGCTACGAAACGGCCAAGGTGGAGTATATATGCGATGAGCCCATTGCCATCGATCAGGTTCAATCCGTCGCCGCGATGCAGTCCCTGGTGCTGGCCAAGGCGACCGGCTGGTTCGAGAGCCTCAGCACCGAGCAAAAGCACGAGATACTCCAAAGCTATGGCCAGATGCCGCCGCTGGAGCACAGCTGGCAGCTGATCGCCGACGGGCCCGCCTGGGCCTGGTGGATCATTGCCCTGCTGCCGCTCTCCCAGCAGCTGAAGGTAGGCAGCCTCAAAATATTGATCCCTATTTGAGCGCCAGCTAATATTTGTTGTCATTTTCCAGGTGGACATACTGGGCACCACGTCGCTAAAGAAGCGTCTGCGTGCCATTGACAAGACGCTCGACTATCTGCGCGAACCGCAGCCGCAGCAGCAGGCGCCGCAGCAGTCGCCGCAGCAGCCGCACGATCTCAGCCTGGACTGCGAGGAGCAGGTCGCCGACGAGGCCGCAGCCGGTGTCGGTGTGGACGAGTGCTGCCTGTACGGCGAGTCGCACACCGACGAGGAGCTGCTGCTGTAGTGCAGCCCGTTTAGCTGTACCTCCAGCAGTAACTGTAGCAGTAGCAGTAGCTGTAGCAGTAGCTGTAGCTGTAGTTGTAGTAGTTGTAGTGAGTGTGAAAAGCGTTTCTCAATATGGTTAAAGCAAGCGTAAATTCTGTGTCTAAGCCATTCGTATTACACGTTACTGTTATCCTAGGGGCCAAAACGAAAGATATAATAACTTAGCAGAACCAAATTATCACTAGATGAAACTGTATAACTGTAACTGTAACTGTAACTGTAACTTAGAACTGTAAACTGTAGCTGTAAAATGTAAACTGAAAACTGTCAACTTTAAAGATGTAAACTGAAAACTGTAAACTTTAAAAGTGTAAACTGTAAACTGAATGTGTGTAAAAGTTGAACTTCGATGTGTAGCTTATGAGAGAGATTTATATATATATATATATCTATAAGTATGTAATATAATACACATACAATCAAAAGTCGCCCCTTACAATCTAGAGAGCCCCCTAATTTCTTGTTGAAACCAAAAAAAAAAGAAAAAAAACGAACCACATTCCACAATATGAAAAAGAACATAAATCTTTGTACAGCAAATACTTCTCTGCAGCAAAAAGTATCTTCAACAACAACTCATGGTTTCTACAACAAAACACACAAATTTTAAAAACAAATTAAACAACAAACAATACCCAAATTTTGTAAAGGCCAACGACATACACTGCAAGAAAAAAGTTAAATAAAAAAAAAAGAAGAGAAGTAGCTGAAGAAAACTCGACTCAAATGAAAAAAAAATTGCAACTTTTCTGGAGCAATTTTCAACAACAGATTAAATTGAATATAAGAAGAAGAGCAGAGAAAACTCTTTTGGGAGTATTTCTTGATTTATTTTTAGTATAAGCGGCTGGAACTATAAGACAATCTGCAACATTTTTTTCTTATTTTGTATAACTAAAAGAAATATAACTATAAATAAAAGAGTATAAATAAAATATGAACTAGGAGCAGCTCATAACTAGCATGTAGTTAGAATTCATGTGGAAAATGCAATTTGATTTTCTTCTGTTAGCTTTCAATTTATATGTCAAATTTTCCCGCTACTCTCTGTCTCTATAAACACAAGCACTCTCTCTCTCTCTCTCTCTATGTCTCTCAGTACATGTGTTAATTAAGCTATGATATGCGTACTATCCAAATTATATATATATATATCATATGTATGCTCACCTATATACCTATATATATATATATATATGTATGTGTATGCCAATCAAAAGGGATTGACCGGCTAATGCTAATGCTCTTTTTCTGTATTTGTATCTGTAACGAACTTATTATATATATATATTTAAACTGTATCTGTATCTGTATCTGTATCTAAAGTCCGCATTCCTATAAACGAAACACACACACACACAACTTTAAATAGTTATTAAATTAATTTAATTAGCCTTAAGCCTCATTAGCCTCATTTAATTTTTGTATTGTAAAGCAAATGAATTTTAAAAACAACAATTTGCTTTGCCAGTCAGCTCACATCAACCGATACACAAACATATATATAGATATATATGTGAACTTGTATATAGTTAGGACTTTGTTGAACCACGCCTTATAAAGCATAAACAAGCATATTTCTTATATGATCACGAATTTAATTTTTAGCACACACCCACACAAACACACACACACAGACACATTTAGCAACTAGCTATGTAATTTTATACATAATATAATTAATCATATTTGTCAGCTAAGTTTTGAAATATTCAACATAATTTGTAAACGTTTTTTGTGTCTAATTTATAACGAAAAGAGTAAAAAACAGAAGAAAAAAATATAAAAAAATAAATGAATATCTGAATATATAAATATGATACGATCTATGATAACGATAACTCAGTTCTATGTGTGTGCAACAATTTTTTTAATCGTATTTCTTTTCTTTTTATTCGAATGTCCAATAAAATGAAATTTACAAAACAAAACGGAAACACTCCAATTAAAATCTAGTTTTACAGTTCCATCTTGTTTATCTGTTTCGCTTAATGATATTGCAATTCCATTCTCAGCTAGCCTTCGGCTGCACTTTGAGTTCAACGATACCAAAACTTCGATAGATCTGAGCTCAGGCATACGATTTACTGGCAAAGCTCTATAAATATTTAACACTTGCTCCGATATGTGCAATTTCAATATATCCTGTCCTGCATAAAATGCATAAGACCTCAAAACACAAAACTACTCTCTCAGTGCACTCTATGCAAATTCTTGGAATTACGTCAGCATATTATAAATACGAAATTTATAGAGCCAAATCTGGCAAATGGAAATCGAGCAACTCGTGAATTTGAATCGATTAATTGATATCCCACAAGCCCGTGAATCTCCAGAGCTTGTGGACACTTCTTAAGGCTCAGGAGCTTGTACGTCTTAAGATCTGAGCTCTGCATATAAAATAATATTAATAATAAATAATAATCAGAGCTCTACATAAAATTTGATTAGGGACGTGTTTTGCACTAGTTTGCAAATCCACCCCACTGTGTGGAAACTTAAGTACTAAGTTTCGTTTTCGTCCGCTCGTTGGTTAACTTATTTCTAAAGATCTTTGTAAAAAGTTATCTAAAACTCGTTTCGCTAATAGCGAAAGCCTATTACAATATATGCAAATGGGATTGAAAGCAGTCGTAACCGATTTAAATTCGTTCATAGACAGGAAACGGCTGGATAAGTGATGTTAACAAGAAAAGAATGTGTGTGGGAATATATGTAAGTATGTGTAAATGTGTATGTATGTGTGTGCGTGTATGCATGACATACATGCACACATATGTACATACATCTGTCTTTATATGGCTCCAAACGCACACCAAGATTACTTTTCATTGCAATGCAAACGTATTTTTGTCTACTGCCCTACTACTCGATTCTCATAAATTCAAGTAAGCCCTGCATATTTCATGCTTCAATTTTAAGTGTGCCGCGTGAGTGTGTGTGGTGTTGGTAGTCTAGTTAGCTTTCTGTTTGTTTGCATGTTTATAGGTATGTAAGCGTTCTTGTATGGATGTATGTATGTATGTATGTATGTATGTATGTATTTATGTATGTATGTATGTATGTATGTATGTATATATGTATGTATGGATGTATGTATGTATGTATATATGTATGTATGTATGTATGTATATATGTATGTATGTATGTATGTATGTGTATGTATGTATGTGTGTATTTATGTATGTATGTATGAGCGTATATATGTATGTATGTATGTATGTGTATTTATGTATGTATGTATGAGTGTATGTATGTATGTATGTATGTGTGTGTATGTATGTGTATGTATGTATGTATGTATGTATGTATGTATGTGTGTATTTATGTATGTATGTATGTATTTATGTACAGTGTGTATGAATGTATGTATGTATGAATGCACGTTTTTTTGTAAACATATACCTTATTCTTATTTAAAAGAAACGTATTTCTGACTACTGCCCTACTACACGATTCTCATAAATTCAAGTAAGCCTTGCAGGTTTTAATGCTTTGATTCAAAGTGTGCCGCGCGTGTGTGAGTGCCGTTGGTGGGCTAGTTAGCTGTGTGTTTGTCAGAAGGTACTTTGGCTTGTATATGTGAATGAATATATGTTTGCCTGTGTGTACGTTTGTATTTTTGAATGCAGATATGTATGTATGAATATATGTATGTAGCTTCATATGTAGTATGTATACGAAATGCAGATCAATGTTATTATCCGCGGCGGTGCTATAAATAGCAAAGGAAAGGCATCTTTAATCTCTGCCTTACTATGCGATTAACATGCTAACAAGTTTTGGTGCTGGTAATCTAATATACTCAAAAGATTTTATACTCTCACTCTAAATTATTCTCTTGTAATCTATCCCTCTTTTGCCGTATTTCTCTCTTTTCCACTCTCACTTATTTCTCTCGCCTTTTCTTGTTCTTACTCCTATCCCTCACTGTTCATATTGTTGTCTTTCTCCTACTAGTGATAGCATTTTTCAAAATCGTCTGTATATGAATTTTCGGGTAAGTGAATATTTATATTTCATAAAACGAATTAGTTTTTGAACTTTTTTCTAATATTATTTATAATTTTCAGCAACTATTTTTTTTTCTCTATTAAATTTAAGACCACAGATAAGCTATAATAGATCATAATTATATATCAATACGAGACACGTTTCCAAAAAGTAATTCCAGTCCCGCTGACAACAGATGAACTCGCACTGCATCTAATTATAGGGTCAAAGTCAAAGGGTATGATTAGTCCGTCAATGCCGAACGCAGTGCATATAATTATAAGCTCGAACTTGCCTTAATGTACAGCAAGACAAGCAACAAAGCCTGGCAGACCTTGAACCACCCTACCCCTAACTAAACGCGCCAATAAACACGACAAACAATACGCAAGACAAACCGGAAGTGGTAAGCGCAGCACGTGCAGAGCTGCGTTCAGCGGGGGGCATCGCCACACGAGTCCCGAGTGGCGTGCCACAAACAGAGCTACGTCTCCTGTATGCCACTGTATGCGAGACCCTGCGCCCTGCTGATAACCGAGAAGCTGCTGTAAATGCGACAGATAAAGCCAAAGGCAAGCAGGTTGCTGCTTGCGTCGCTGCCAGCGTCGCTGTCGGCATCGCTGTCGGCGCCGCTGCCGACGATCGCTGAGTGGGGCTTTTGCCGAGCGAGCTGCCCGCTGTTGTTGGCGTAATATTAAATAATAGCCGGGTCGACGCGGCGCGCTCGCAAATGCCAGCTAATGCGGAGAAGGCGCGCATATCGCGTATACGCCCCGTACGGCAGCGAGTGCCGGCTACCGAAGCGAATGCCAAAGCAATACGACAAAAGCGCGAGTGTGTGTGTGTGTGTGTGTGAGTGAGTGTGGTTGTGTGCGTGTGTGTGAGTGATGAGAACATGTATTTATTTGTATTGGCCGCGCTCGCATTTTGCGCTCGCTCGACGTTTATCCACACACACAGAAAATGCATTTTTTTGTATATATTTTTTATTATATTTGTTGTTGTTGTTGTTGTTGTTGTTGTTGGGAGCGCGTCGCAGCTTAGAAATTGCAATTCTCGTTTCTCGTGGCGTTGGCGAGAATTTGGGGCCTTTTTCTTTCAGTTAGATTTTGACACGCGCAGCGACAACGAGCGTCAAACGCGCGTCTCTCCCCAGCATACCCAGCATACCCAGCACCCAGTTGCACAGCGGCGTTCACTGCAGCGCGTCGGCGAGGCGTCGGGCGCCAAGCTCGAGGCGCCAATTCAAGCGGTTTCTTCGCCCAAACGTATTATCTATATATATGTATATGTATGATAGATCAGATATTGCTTCTAAAGTCGTTTATCGTCGGATTTGCTTTAGTCTAAGATGCTGTAAGTCTAGGCTGTAACTCGATCGTTAATTACACGCGTTCGTTGTGCCTGGCTTACGAGTGGCCCAGTGTGTGTGTGTGTGTGTGTGTGTGTGTGTGTGTGCGTGTGTGTGTGTGCTGTGACGTCTCCGTTTTTGTTTTCTTCCTGCGCGCATTTGCTGAGCTGCACAAGAAGAAGAAAAATATTAATTTAAAACTATCTGAAAAATTGAATAGTACAAAAACGTATGCAAAAAAATTAAAAAAAATAAAAACGAAAATAAATAAATCTTTACAGAAGAGCTACGCAAATATAATAAAAGAATAATAATACTTAATGCTCTTCTTCTTCTTCTGTTTCTTTCTTCTTTTTTTTTTGAGACATGTGCGCACACGAAAGCGAAAAGCAAAGTAAACAAAAAACGCAAAAAGCCAGCGCTAATAATATTATGTAATTTTTAAACATTTATAAAAGTGCTCAATCAATAAAAACAAAAACACAAACAAACTTGTGACGTTTTTGAGTGCTTAAACAAATTATTTGTTGATTTTTAAAAAAAATTTTAAATTTAACAATTATTAAAAAATCTATTAGAAAAATATACATTTAATTCTTTATGTTTATTGAATAGATAAATAAATAATTGTCAAGCTGTTGTTAAATAAACAAATATATAAAATAAATGAATTAAAATTTGATAATTAAATCAAAAAACTAGTGTATGGCCGCAGTGTGTAATGAAAAGCGCAAATGAATAAAGAAAATTCAAGCTAAATGCAAGTGCTTAAGTATAATAAAAATCATATTAAAAAGTAAATAAATAGGCAGATATGAACGCGAATGGTGGGAGGCAAAGACAAGCAACGAAACAGGAAGGAAAAACGAGAACTAATGAAAAGTGCATTCAACCAAAAATGTTCTACAAAAGCGAGAGAGCGCTAAACGGCAGCTCAAAGATGCCAGCGAAATAAATAACGGGCAAATAACAGTTACAAATTGAATATAATACAACACTGGAAAGATAAGAGACTGAAAGAAGATTAAATATAAAAAGAATAACAATGCAACACTGGAAAACAAATAGAATAAACTAAGAATATATATAAATGAGTAAGAACAACAAATAGTTTAAAGAGCGGAAAATAATGCAACTTTGGACAAATAATAAATTCAATTAATAATAAATAACAGACATGCAACAAAAAAAAAATGGAAAATTATACATCACTGAATATTTATTTATATATATGCAAAGATATAAATAAATATATATATATATATATTTAAAAAAAACTAAAACGAATGTAAATAATGCATTAATATGCGTTAATTAAAAAACAAAGAAAATAATGCAACACTGGATTAAATAATAATTAAAATAAGAATATATTTATATATATTTTTATATATAAAAGAACAATTCACAGTTAAAATTAAACGAAATTAATGCAACACTGGAAATATATATATATATATTTAACAGTTAAAAGAGACCGAAAATAATGCAACACTGGTCAATTAATAGACTTAAAGGCATAATAATATTGAGCTTCTTTCAAGTAATTTTCATATAATTTTTAATTGTATTTGTTGTTGTCAAAGTCGCTTTCTGCGGACTGCGGACTGCGTGCTGCGGGGCGGGCAGCGGGGCGGGCAGCGATTCCCGGGCTGCTCGGTTTAGTTGAGCTCAGCGTTTGGGGGGGCTTGCGGCTCGTTTGCCGGAGCGGTGGGGGAGGTGGGGTTCTGTGTCAGGTTTGAGTAGCGTCTTTTTGAAACGTCATCGTCAGCGTTTGAGCGTCGTGTCGTGCCGACTGTCTACACAGGTGTGTGTGTGTGTGAGTGTGTCTTACCCTGTGTGCTTCACTGTGTGAGTGCGCGTGTGCATTCTGCATTGGTGTGCACGCTTCTTGGGCAATGTGTGTGCGTGTGTGTGTGATCATGCGCCAGGCAGCTAAAATGCCAGCGTAAAATCATTTCAATTGACAACTTTTCAATTTTAAACTAATATGTTACAACTTTTAGTGAGACAGCGAGAGAGGGGGAGAGAGAGAGAGAAAGAGAGAGGGAGGGAGTGGGAGAGAGAGTGATGAATCTCGACTCAAAATATGCGCCAATCAATTCTTAAATATGACATTACGCGGCATCAAAATACAATTGTCTGTCTTTTAACAATCTTCGATAAAAGCAAAATATGAATTGCAAAATATTTCTGAAGATAAAGCGTTTAAAATCTATATTTATCTCATACATATGCAGCCCAACTGGATTTTCTATAGCTCTTTAATTGCAGCAATTACAACAAAATAAGTATATATATTAGTAACAAGATACTCGAAAGGTTGTGACAAAGAAGAGATAAGCGAATTGTGTCTCATAGTTAGAAAAGAATTAGGTGAAGCCAAGTGCTTTCAGTGTGAGCAAAGATATTGTGTTTAATATGTGGAAAACTTAATAAAACATTAACAACAAAGAAAAAGCATTTATGGAATAATTCATTAGCATAAATTAATTATTCCTTTCTTTCATTAGCGCAACTTCAGACTAAACAACTTCTATACAATACTTGAAAATAACCGTTTAATTATTGTTAAGTTTAGCACAAGACTAAAATCAAAAACTAATCAATTTAAAACGAAAAAGTGAGTGGCAAGAAAAGGCCTCGCATGTCGAGCTGCAAGATGAGCACTCCAAAGATGAAGTATCTGCCCCATAGATCGATTGCTTCCCATCATTAGAATAGTGCATAAAATGCATATATTTAAACCCTTAAGTAGCTACCTTAATTATGCCCTAAAGTGTCTACACCTGGTTGTGTATTTAAAACAAGTCGTTGTTAACACATATGAAACTGAACAAAACGGGAGCCTAAATAAATCAATGAATGGCAGACAATTGGCTAATGATAAAAATAAAAATAAAGCAGCAGCAAAATAGGGAACAATTTAATTAAGTCAAGTTTAAAACAACAACAACAACAACAACAGGCTCAGGCGAAGAGAGCGCATGAAAGAGAATCAGTTATGTGTGCGTGTGTTTGTGTGTGTGTGTTTGTGTCTGGGCAGAGCAAGCTTGTCAAATGTGCCGTGCAGTGCGAGTGAAACAAAAAATATTACAAGTGTCGCAAAGCTTTAAAAAAAAGGCGGACCGCAGCAAAACAAAACACGGCGAAAGGGGCTGTGCGGGCGCAGACGGCGAGGTATTATCACACACAGCACACATCAACTTAGACACACACGCACACAGTTGCGCTATGCTGTAATCGCAATGCAATTAGCGGAGCCAGCAAAAGCTCAAGTTCACTGACAAAGAAATCAAACACTGTCACAAGTGCGCACACGACACACACACACACACACGCACACAGGCAGAGCAACTATGCGATAATTTGCGGACTGAGCGAAGCTTTAGAAATGCAATCAAATGACGTTGGCTGCAAGCGCGCCAAAGAGCGAGTGTGTGAGAGCGGGAGAGCGAGAGAGAGAGAGAGAGCAGCGAAGAGAGCTTTTGCATGACTAGGTCAGTCAACGATCTTGCGGCTACAGTTGGCAACCGGCTTTACGAGCTTTCTGCTTCCGCATTGCGAAAAAAAAGAGATACAATAACAAAACGTTTATCAATGCCAAATGAGCATAGAAAAAATGTTGTCGCATTGGCTTTGTGTGTGTGTGTGTGTGTGTGTGTGTGTGCTGTTGGGGGGGAAAGGGAGGCGCGGGGTTGCTGCAAGTAATTGTCGCAAGCTTTTCTAACTATTTGTTTTGTTTACATTAAGCTACATTTGGAATGGTTTATTATGCAATTGACTCGTTGAAGTGCAGGCAAATGATACGTGAATAGCTGCCGCATTTGTGTATTGGATTTATTATATCTATCCGTAAATCAGCTTGTACCAGTTGGGAATTTTAAGAATAGGCATGACGACTTTTTATGGATTTTAATTAGTTGGCTTGCTTAATTGAAGTGCCAATGGTTCTTCTACCTTATTTTCTTTATTAAATTTGCTTAATTACTTCTTAGCAACGAATATTATTTTTAATTATTAATTTGTTATAATTAATATTAATTTAATATTCTTCAAGCTAAAGCCTTTAGACTATGTGGTTTTTTTTTTGATTAGTTTGTATATCATATCACTTAGGAAATCTTCTCAGAGCTATATCTCTCTCTATTTCTCTCACTCTGGCTCACTCTCTCTCTCTCCCTCTCTCTCTCTCTCTCTCTCTCTCTCTCTCTCTATCAGTCTTTTCGAATCATAACTTATGTTCTAGTGAATAAAAGAATCCAATAGAGTAGATCAGTAACTTATTTTTGTATAATTTGAGACATAGCTTCTCACATCTTCACTCTTTCTCCATCTCACTTCCTCTCCCCCTCTCCCCCTTTCTTTCTCTCTCGCACTGTGTGTCTAGTGTTCCCTAGTCTTGGCCATTGGCAATTGGCGCGCAGCAAACCGCACTAATTGCAATACGAGCCATTAAACAGCACGTTGGCAATTATTAGCGGCTACCTTTTTAAAGCTGGCAAAACCACAGTACGTAAGCCGAACCCAACCAGTTGATAGAAAAGCAATAACAACAACAGCTACTTAGGGTTAACCAGCAACACTTGGCCAAAGCAAAGGCCAGGAGCAGCAACTAGGAGGGTGGAGGGGTTTGGTGGAGCAGGCGGGTTTTGGGGCTAGGAAAAGCTGTCGGCATTTTGGCTTTGATGTGTATTTAAAATGCTGCAACTGTTGAATACATGTGGGAAATTATGATTCGTTAAATGCTTCGCCGGACAAAACGGCTAAACGGATTAATTAAACAGCAACTCATATGCACGTGTGTGTGTGTGTGTGTGTGTGTGTGTGTGTGTGTGTGTGTGTGTGTGTGTGTCCGTTTTAAGCCGCTTGTTTTCTGCTTTTGAGCTGCATATTTAAAGCCCGTTGCTGGCAACGCTTTTAATTAAGGGTAAACGCAATTTTGCCAGTTTGTTGCAAGCCTTTGCATTTGCCAGGCTTTCAACGAAAACAAGAACAACTGCGACGACGACGACGACAATTTCTTTGACATTTTCTTTGGCAACAACTTGTGTGGCAGCAGTGAAAGTTTTGTGGCAAGTTCAAATTCACCTGAAGCCCCATCAATTTGCAATTAAGCAAGCGTTTGTATTTGTTTTCATTTAAGCCATTAGCATTCAATTAACAAATAAATAAAACTCAAAATCAACTGCACGTACATGTAGTGCCAAACACACACACAAACACAGATACAGCCACACACACACACACAGATACACGCATTATGCAATATGTGTGAGTATTATGAGTCAAGCGTGCGGAAAAAGCAACGCGCAGCCTGGCAATTGGTTAGCAGCTGCTTAATACACACACACACACACACACGAACACACACACACACGGACACATGCACGCAACCTTCCCGTCTACGCACACGACTTGCAAAAGGTTGTTATGGCATTCGCCGTCGCATTTAGTAACCGGAGCAAAATAACATAGCATACTTTTTAGGGGATGCAATCGTCTAGTTGCAACATCCGCGTCGGCTGCATTGATTGGCGCTCGGCCGCCGCAAATTGGCCACGGGGCGCCCGCTGTGGCACATGCGCAGGCGCAGCACAGCGACTGGCCTTTGCGTTACGTAACTGCAGCAGCAGCAGCAGCAGCAGCAGAGGCCGCAGCAGCAGCAGCAGCAGCAGAGGCCGCAGCAGCGACTGCTCGACGAAGGATGCTGCTGCCAGCAGCACAATGCCATGAACAATTGCCTGTGTGTGTGTGTAAGAGTGTGTAAGAGTGTGCGTGTGTTATGGACAGGCAACTACATGGGCCAAAGGCCAGGTCAGATGCTCAACTGCACTTGTTGCTGACGGTACGCGAAACGTTGTGTAGCAATAAATACAATTTATAAATAATCGCAAATTTAATATCAATTTCTTTCGCTTTTGCCAGCAACTAAAAAAAAAAAAAAACAAAATGTGGCACACATTTAAACGTATTGAAATTAGCTGCCGCGTGAATGTTACCTAAAAAGCAAAACTTAAAAAATAAAATAAATAATACAAAAAATGATCAAAATAGAAATATGTAAAACTCAAATTGTGAACTGAACAAAGTTGAGTGCAAAGGTGTGTGTGTTTGTTTTTTTCATATTGTTTAAACAAATTTGAAAAAAACCAACAATCTGGAAGAGGATTATCTATCGAATGCAAAGATGGACGAGGAGAGCGACGATAAGGATGATACAAAAAGGTGAGCACAACAAAGAATTACTCATAGACTCGCGTTTGCATAGTCAAATATAAATATATATATATATATTTAGATATTTGTATGCATAGCGGGGCCCGCTGCAATTGACAGTTATGATATGAAATACGTAGACAATAAATTATAAATAAAATAAAACACAGGTAAACAGGTATATTTTATTCGGGTGCAGCCGACTGTCTAATGCTTGCCAACTGTTCAAAGCATGTTGCCCGCCAAATTTTCTCAGAGGTATCGATACTTTTTCGATTTGTCATGCCCCCAGTGGATCTTCGGAGAAGCTGTGCAGGCAGTTTTTGAGTTAATTTACAGAAGAGCTCTGACGCACACTACACAAAGCCTATAAACTCCTTTCAATTTGTAGACAAGTATTAAATATAGAGATAAAACAAAAAAACAACATATTTTGCGGATTAAAAGCGAAATATTTTGTCTAGCGACAAACGAAGTACATTTCCATGAGCCAAGCGACAAATAATTGTGTTAATTCAGTTTTCGCTTTCCAATTTGGTTAAAGTTTCCCAAATCATAATCAATTGGCTGCCCCTCTGCCCCTCTGCCTAACCACCCCACCACAACTAAAACATCTGCTATAGTTGCCATATTTTGTGCGTAAGAACTTTAATTAACTGTAATTTGAGCATGATTTGATTTTGTTTGCCTACAAACAAATCTTATACGCTCACAAGTAATTACAATTGTTTTTATGCCCTTGCAGCGGGTATTAGAAGATTGTCGGGAATCGTGTAACGCCTGGAAGTAGACTTCGAATTAGTCTAATATATCATATGTGTATATAGCAGCCATAGGAAAGGTCTCTTGAAAGTCTATTCTTGTTTTGTTTTTCGAATTGTCTTGAACACAGTTGGCATTCACGAGTATTACAAAGCCCCAATAAATATAAGCAATATCTTATTGACTTGAGGATATATCTGCTGGAAGTCTGTAGCAAAAGTTTATCTAGGCAAAAAGTTGTTGTGTGCATAACTTTCTAGATTTACAAGATATTTCATCCAAGCTCAGCAGTTACGGTCTTCATTTGTCTGTTAATTCTTAACAAATCGAACTACTATATCATATTGCTCCGATAGAATCAATCGTCTGAAAATAAAGCTTTTGCATAAAGATCATATTAATGTAAGAGCATTCAAATTTCTGCGCGTCACAGCTAGACGTTTTTCTTGTTGTTTTCTTGCTTCTATTCCATAATATGTCAACGCGCCGAGTTTGTGTTTCAATAAATATATCAAATTGGTAATTCAATAGCCAGAAAATGCAGAGATAGAAAGAGAAACAAAGAGAAACAGAGTGAGAAAAATGCCCATAATTAATTGCAGTGACATTTGTGATTAGTATTCTAGGAAAGTCTTTTAAATAAGTTAAGTAAGTGAGAATGTATAGCTTATAAACATAAGAGTATGAACATTTTATTGCATACATTAAGGCTTGAAGACGCCAAAAGAAAAATGGTTCATGTGCAATTCAATTGTTTATATATAATTGCCCTTTGTACTGAAAATATTGCAAGCCTTATATATTTTCATATACAAAACGCGGGCTAAATTTGAACTCTTCCCAAAATTGCCACCTACCAAATATGGTTAGATAAATGATGACTGGGACTAAAGTAGTTTATATTTTGAGGCTGGGTCGCCTATTTTCAAAAATATTTAGACCGATTTTTGGGTTTCTGTATTCTTTTTGTTTTTATCAACTGATTTGGTTCCAGGTTTGTGGTGTATTTTATTTTTAAATAAATTAGAAAAAAAGTGGAAAAAATGAAATAAAAAGAGTAAAGAAAATTTTAATGGAACAAAGAATAAGGCAGAGAGATATTGAAGGGCAATAAGTGACCCGATGGGATGCTGATAAAGCATATAATTATATAGTCAGATAATCAAATTAAAACCATTTTATGCCAATTAATATTCTTCTTTATTACATAGACTCGATAAAGTTAATATAGCCAAATAAATCAAGTCCAAAGTAAGTCTGTGATTCACTTATGAGCCAAGAGCACACCTATTGCTGATTGGGCAAAAGAAAAAACATGCTCTGTCCCATTCAAAGCCCATTTAGAAAGCCATTTAATGGAGCCAAAAGAGGAGGTCTTAGCAAACTGAAGGAACTGGATTATGTGCTTAAGGAGGGGATTTTTTTTTTTAGTCTTTACATTCCACGAACTGAGATAAACAAGAAGATAACCTTCGCTATGCGCCCACTCTCTCTCTCTCTCTCTCTCGCTCGCTCTCTCTCTCTCTGTCTCTAACTTTCTATTCTTCTATGCGACTCGTTTTGTTGACACGTAAACGTCAATTGCAAATATCTGAGCCCAAAAATGCTTGTCCTAGCGCAACAAATGTAAAGCGACAACAACAATCCACACCCCCCCTCTAACCTTCCCCCTCCCGCACACGAAGATGTTCCGGCGAACTGTGTGGGGTGTGTGAGCATGTGGGCGGATTTGTCTAATAAACGCCAGACAAAGCATCAATCGCAGGACACACGTGGGCAAAAGGTGAGCAGCTGCTCGATGTGCCAGTGGGGGGGTGTGGGTGTGAGTGTGGGGGAGGCGTGGGCAGGGGTTATGTGTGTGTGAGTGTGAGTGTGAGTGTGTGCCTGGTTTGGGCAGTCATCGAAATTTGTGAGCTAATCTAGAGGCTTGCCCTTTAACATTATATTTGACCAGTAATTTTATTTTTTGGTAACTCAAAGTCTTCTTTGCAGAAGATCCCGAAATCTGAGCGAAAAGAAGCGTCGGGATCAATTCAATTCGCTGGTTAACGATTTGAGTGGACTGATAACCACATCGAATCGCAAAATGGACAAATCAACGGTGCTGAAGTCCACAATCTCATTCCTAAGGCATCACAATGGTGAGTGCCACATAAAAATAATAATAAATTAAGATCTTATTTATATACAATATATTTATGTGGCATGCGCAGAGGCAACGGATCGCTCCAAGGTGTTCGAGATTGAGCAGGAATGGAAGCCCACATTTCTGACTAACGATGAGTTTTCCCACTTGATGCTTGAGTCCTTGGATGCTTTCATGGTGGTCTTCAACAGTGTGGGCTCCATATTCTATGCCTCGGAAAGTGTTGCCTCGCAGCTCGGCTACATGCCGGTAGGTGGCGCCACCTAAACTAGATTAAACTTTTATAATGACACTTTCGCTCTCCCCTGCTCTGGCAGTGTGAGCTGTACAGTAAGAACTTTTATGATGTGACCTATGAGCTGGATCAGGAGGCCCTAATGAACGTCTTTGTGAATCCAGCGCCCGTCGTCGAGCCCAACCAGACGGACATCGGTGCCAGCAATCAGATTACCTTCTATATCCATTTGAAACGCGGCTGGAATGAGAATAAGGATTCGAGTTCGTACGAGCTGGTGAAATTCGTGGGTTATTTTCGTAGGTAGTCGCGCAGCTGACCAACAGCACAGTTTCTTTTTTAACTCGAAGCCCCATTAAACCCATAGGAATCGATGACAATACCAATGCGAACGACAGCCCGGACACCCAGAACCTGCCACGCATCCTGCAGCAGCATTCCGGCGTGGAGCTGGACAGGCGGCTAGTGTTTGTGGGCACGGGCCGCATACAGACGCCGCAGCTGATACGCGATATGAGCATCGTCGAGCCCAACGGCACCGAGTTCACCTCGAAGCACAGCATGGAGTGGAAGTTTCTGTTTCTCGACCATCGAGCGCCGCCCATCATTGGCTACATGCCGTTCGAGGTGCTGGGCACCTCCGGCTACGATTACTATCACTTCGATGATCTGGACAATATTGTGGCCTGCCATGAGGAATGTATGTATGAGCAGCAGCTCCAGCTGGCGCCAGTGCAATCTAATCTTTGCTTTCCGACCATTCGTGCAGTGCGCCAGACGGGCGAGGGCAAGTCCTGCTATTATCGCTTTCTGACCAAGGGCCAGCAATACATTTGGCTGCAGACGGACTACTACGTCAGCTACCATCAGTACAGCTCCAAGCCGGACTATGTGGTCTGCACGCACAAGGTGATCAGCTATACGGAGGTGCTGAATGGGGCGAGCAGGGACCCACAGACGCCCCTCCAGGCGCCCAAGTCCAGCTCGAGCAGCAGCAAGTGCGCCTCGGCGACGACAACGCTGCGTGACTTGGAGCTGAGCAGCCAGCATCTGGACAGCCATGTGCTGGACAATATGCTGGCCAATCTGAGCAATGAACAGACAGCTGCAGCCGCCTCACCCACGATGGACTCCTCGCCCATGTGGTCGACGGGTGCAGCGCCAGCCGCCTCCTTGAATCCCCTAAAGACCTCTAGACCCGCCTCCAGCTATGGCAACATCAGCTCCACGGGCATCTCGCCGAAGGCCAAGCGCAAATGTTACATGAACTACAACAGTCGCGGCAACGAATCGGACTCCACGTCCATGTCCACGGACTCGGTTACCAGCAGGCAATCCCTCATGACGCACTGCAGCTCGGTAAGTCAACATTTGGGCAGATTTATCTAATCTCTAACCGCATTTCTTTGTGTTCAAAGCAGAGTCATCGTCAGCGCTCGAATCTTCATGCACGGGAGCACAGCCAGCGGCATCATGCGCAGCAGCAGCAATACTCAAACCACCAGCACCAGCAACATCAACAGCAGCAGCAGCAGCAGCAACAGTTGCAGCTGCATCAGCCCAAGATATTGCCGATGTTGCCGCTGGCGCCGGCGCAGATCGTTGCCGGCAACGCCTGCCAGCTAACACAGCCCAGCTATTCGCTGACCACACCGCAGCTGATGGCGCCCAGTTTTCTGGAACCGCCACAATATCTGGCCGCCATACCCGTGCAGCCGGTGATGGGCCCATTTCCGGTGGCGCCCGTGCTGTCGCCGTTGCCGGTGTCGGTGCCGGTGTCGGTGCCGGTGTCGGTGCAGGGGCAGCAGCCGGAACTGCTGCCGGGCGCCGTGGTGATGACCACCACGCAGAGTCAGCTGCAGGATCAGCTGCAGCGCAAGCATGACGAGCTGCAGAAGCTGATCATGCAGCAGCAGGACGAGCTGCGCATCGTCTCCGAGCAACTGTTGCTCGCGCGCTACACGTACCTGCAGCCGGTGATGCCCGTCAGCTTTGCCACCACCAATATGACAGCTGCTGCCGCCGTTGCCGGCGCCAATATGCAGCGCAGCCTCAATTTCAGGGGCAGCAATACCGTGGAGCCGCAGTTCAATCAGTACGGCTTTGCGCTCAACACGGAGCAGATGCTGAACCAGCAGGACCAGCAGATGCTGATGCGCCAGCAACATAATCTGCACAGTCAGCAGCAGCACAATCACAATCTGCAGCAGCAGCAGCAGCTGCAGCAACAGCTGCAGTTGCAGCAGACCCACCAGCATCAGCAGCAGCACCACCGGCAGCAGCTGCAGCTGCAGCACAGCCTGCAACAGCAGCAGCAGCAGCACCTGCAACACCAGCAGCATCAGCAGCAGCAGCAACAGTTGCAGCTGCAGCACCAGAGCAGCATGTTGTCGCGCGAGGATATGGAGGATATCGATGCATTTCTCAATCTGTCGCCGCTGCAATCGCTCGACTCGCAGCTCAACAGCAACTGCAACGGCAGCAACAACAACTCGAATGCGCCGCAGAATACGAATGAGGACTCGCTGCTCTCGTACATGCAACTGGCCACCGAATCGAGTCCCTCGCTCAACTTTCCCATGGGCATGAGCGACGACGGCTCCGAGACGCACAGCGAGGACAACCAGATGATGCACAGCAGCACGCAGCAGCAACATCTACTGCAACAGCAGCAGCAGCAGCAGCAGCAACTGTTGCAGCCGCAGCAGGCGAGCAGCTTTTTCGCCTCGAATCCTTTTCAATCGACCCAAAGTCAGCTGCCCAACGATCTGGAGATATTGCCATATCAAATGTCGCAGGAGCAATCGCAGAATCTGTTCGATTCGCCGCATGCGGCTGGCAAAAGTCAATAGTATACGGCCAGCCTGGGGGCGTGGCAATACCGTGGAGCCGAACAGAACGCCTTGAAATGAGCTGCTGTCCCCAGACCTAAAACATGCCACACTGTGTATTATAAGTAGCAAGGCCCAATCCTAAGTTTTGGCACATGGCTCTCTTTATCGAACATACACAATACCCAACAATGAAACTAGTTGTAGATCTCAACAGACTGAGTATTGCTCTAATCTTAAACTTAACTCCTTATCTAAGTAACTAACTATGTAAGCTATTAACTATTCATGTTTTCCACTAGGCAGCTCGCATGTTCTCAAAATAAGGTTCGATTTAGTTTTAGTTTAGTGAAAGCTTAGACCAGCCAAACGTTTCCATTAGTTACAATTATCCAGTAAGGATCCAGGGATCTCTGATATGTATATAGAAATAAACTTAATTGTAGGACATAGATAAGCCCGACCGATTCCACTGTGTATATAGTTAGATATAGTTTTGTATGTGTCTCAGACAAATACCTAAAAGCGACTAAAACAAATTATGCAACTAAGCAAATTTTGCAAATATCATATATCATTTATACTATATTTTATATATGATGCATATATATATTTATATTTACATTTTTATATATACGATATATTATTTAAAGACTGCGCTTCGCTTTTGGAGTCATATAAATAGTTTGTTGTTATTATATAGTATTTAAGTCCAGACTCAGGTTGAGATTGCAACTGAATTATTTGCTGTGAACATATTCAAATATTATAAAATTCGACTGTTGTTTTTCATTCTTTTAAGCCGAACTGTTTTCCAATTTTCTTTTTCATTCCTGGTCGGAGAGGCCTTTAAAACTCACTAGAACATCTCTAATATGTATATGTGATTAAATTCTATTTCAGTTGTATTATCAGGCTATGTTCCTCTTAAACGAGTCACACTCACATTCACATTCACATTCACTTCATTCAAACTGATAGAAGAGCCAACTGCAGTGTACATATTATTCTATATATATTCCAAATGGCTTTCAACTCAAACTAGTTTAAGTAAGTACTTAGCTCTAAGGCAAACCCTGTGCATACCTATTATAATAGATATTGTATATATTGTACATTGTGTTGTTGTTGTTCTGTAAATAACTATAGATATACTTAGTTATATACATATATAGAATAATTTTCGCTTAAGCATAAATCAATCTACTTTAAAGCCGCGACACGTTGTAATAAACAAAAGCTATAAGAGATACAAGTTACAAAATATTATATTATTGCTTTCATAAAATATGAAATGTAAAACCAAACCAAGACTCAGTTCGAACCAGCACCCTGCCTTTAACTTCGGCTCGTGAGGCTAAGGTTTCCTCTCGCTTTTTGTAAGCAATTTCTTAAAAACAATTGCCCGTTGTACCTGAAAATATTGCAAGCCACAAATATTTTCCCACACCAAAATATGTTTCGATAAACGCAAAAGTTGTTGCCAAAGTTATTTAAATTCCCCTTAACTCTAATTTAATATCCAACTAACCCATTTAAAAAAAGGCCTGTTTTGTTTTAGCTGTTTATTGAACAACTGTTTGGGTTTAAGGTTCGGTTAATGGTTAAAGATAAATTGAAATTTTGGACTGAACCCGATTCGTTTGAAGATCGGCTTGCAGTCGCTTTATATATATATATATATATAGAAAGTGTCTTATAGTTAGGATTATATAAATTGGATTAAACGCGCAGCTTGACAATCGCATTCTGAAGTATCTGAAACTCGGAGTTGATGTTGTTCATCAGATTGGAGATCTGCGGCTTGGAGTCCAGCACCTCGATGCTCTGCGTGTACGCATTGTAGCGCACGCCGAAGGGACGCGGTATGGAGTTGGCGAATTTGCTGCAAGGATACGCAAGGATAAGGGAAACCAATCGATGGAACTGCATTTGGCTGTTACTCACATGGTCTTCTCCTTGGCGCTCTCGAAGCTGTCGGCCACATAGTAAAGCGGCTGGAACTGCGTTATGGGATACTTGGTGATGCCAGTTTCCTCCGGCTCGAAGTCCTTGAGCTGCGGCTTGTCCGTCAGACAGTACTCCAACTCGCCGTAGGATGAGAGCAGGCCGGCGCCGAAGGCCTTCAGCTCGCCCTCCTGCCGACACAGGCCGTACTCCACGGTGAACCAGAAGATCTGCAAGAGCGTGACCGACCACAAGGATTAGAGGATCACAGCCGGGTTGGCTTAGCTTACCGTGGACAGCTTCTCAATGTAGTCGTCGGGTGCGCCCAGCGAGGCCAAGCCAATCTCCTGACTGAACTGAGCAAAGGCCGGATCGGCGAAGAGGGGCACATGCCCCATCAGCTCGTGGCATACATCCGGCTCCGGCGTGTACATGGGCTTGCTGGGATGCCTGATGTACTGGGTGGAATGGAAGACGCGGAACGCCAGGCCAGCCAGGAAATCGCGAGAGCTGAGCAGCCCAGCCACCGGGCGTAGGGTGAAGCCCGTGCAATCTGGCCAAGAAGACATTAAGATATATACTATATAGAAATCCAAGAGAGACTTACCCCTCAAGAAGTTGGAGACATCCTCCAGCTGTGGTATGTTATCCTCGCGGAAGCCGCAGTTGTCCACCAGCAGGGGAAAGACGTGATTGTATTCGCGGCAAGCGTGCGTCTTGTAGAGCTTGGTCAGATTGCGAAAGATGATGCCCCACGTTTCGGTCTCCTCCTTCGTATACTCCACATGCGGCAGCTGCTCCCCGTGCTTGTAATTGTAGGCAATGTCCGCAAAGTACTTGCGACGCTTGCGATACTCGGGATCTGTGAAGCCCGGATGGTCCGAGTCCAGCTCGGCGCCATAGCTCAAAATCTGATTGGCAAAGCGATCCAGATCGCGTATACGCCGTGGAAACCAGGGCACAGCCGTCGCATTGTCCTTGTAATCGCGCGAAATGATGTTGAAGTAGCTGCACTGCTCCTTCAGATCCTCGATGGCCTTGCCCAGGGCGCCGGACTTGCCGTCGCACTCCACGAAGAACTCGTAGCCGGGCACGCGCAGCGAGGAGCGCGACTCGATGTGCACCAGATTGATGTCGTGCTTCTTGAAGATGGTCAACGTGTTGGCCAAGGCGCCGCTGGCCAGCGACGAGTCCTTCGGCGAGAACAGCAGGCACGTGTTGCGCGCCTCCCGCATGTCCACGCCCTCCGCTATATACGCAGAGTCCTCCATGCGTGTTGGCTACAACAACAGCAACAACAAGAAGAACAACAACAATAGAAATAATGACTACATGTGCTTATCAATTTGTATGCCAATCTGTTTGCATAATAGCCAGACTATGGCTATCAGATAGGCATCGGCTGCGCCAAACGGCCCATCAATCAATCGGTTAATGTTCTATATAATAGGCTTGTTATTGCCATTGCCGCTCTGGCATTGCGAACAGATATTAACGTCATGGGATTTTTCTGCTTTGCTCAGATTACAAAGGTCGCTGCCAACGGCCCAAGACTTAACTCATATCGAAGGTCTTCGTCTAACCGCAATGCTCGATTGCAGGGCCATAGCCATGAATATTACCTAGAACTTGGTTCTTAAACTCAACCCTCCTCAACGGGTTTCGCTTGTGTCAAAATATTGGGTCGTACTGCCCGAAATGGCTAAGCTCTATAAACAACTCTCTCTCTCTCATTTTATTTTATATTAAAAGTCTCTGCTAATCAAAAAAAGGAATTAAACTATTAAGGAACTCTCTTTAAAAATTTTAAATATTCTTGTTTGTATTTTTACTGAAATTCTAAAGTTCATAAAAAAACACAACTCAAAAAAATAGGAAAGATTGTATGTCAGGTTTTTTTTATTTTAAGCATTTAGTATGTTTAAGTTCCATCTGTTAAAATATTACATACACTTTTTATACCCTGAAAAAAATTTATGTAACAGGCAGAGGGAAGCATGTCCGACCCCCTAAAGTATATATATTCCTGATCAGCATCAATAGCCGAGTCGATCAAGTTATCTCCGTCTGCCTGTCCGCAAGGATTTCAGGATCTATAAGAGCTTGAGACTTGAAATTTTGAACGTAGATCCAATTAGTGTCCGCGTAGTATGAGTTCGTTTCCGATAATCGATAATCATTTGCGATTAATCGATAAGACTCGATATTGAAATCCTGTTTTTAGAGCATATTTCTTGGGTTTTAAGAGCTAGAATCGGGAAACTTGTCGTTTAACTTCGCGAATAATATATCCAGGTTAAATATCTGTCACTTTATAGTTTTGCAAGAATGTCAAAATTATTATCTACAAATTTGTATAGAACTTTACTTATATTGACTAATTTATATTGTTTTTGCACTTTGGGTTAATTAGCTGTGTTTCATATTTAGTTTTTCACTTTCATTAGCAGGAACTGCATCCTGAACCAACCTTATCGAAGGAAACTTGACGCTGATACATTTTTGCCTCTATGTCTCGACTGTCTCACGGATGTTCTTCGAATGAAAAACTTTTCTTCAAATAAACAAAAACAAAATCAATGCGAACGCAACGCAGAACACACGATTTAAAACTGATTTGGTTTTTGTGCCATTCAGATGCTTTTATAGACTTTAGCCAGAGGCCCAGCTAGAGCTAAGTTAATCTCTGAGACAATAATATCAATAATAATAATAACAACACAACACAACCAAAACCGAGCACAGAGCCTACGTGAGTGGGGCGATCAGAGAACGGCATCCACACCGAACTCGGGGGTTATCAGCTGGCGTCTCTATATAGCTTCGGTTGGGCCGTGTACCAGAGTCGAACATACAAAAAGTCTATATGGGCATAAAGAGCATAATTCTTATCACTAACATGCGCCGCTTGTGGTCTTTCTTTATGTTAAATAGTTTAAATTGTGTGCAAAAAAAAAAGAAAAAACATATTGAAAATAGCTACGAAATAATCAAAATTCGAATGACAGGTTCTAGCCAAACGGGTTCAACGGCATTTCAGGGCAATTATTGGAGGTAAATAAAGTTTTATAGACGGCATTTAAAGCAGTGCAAAGCCTTCTAAAACACAGCTAAACGACTATCAAAATATTGTTTTGATTAAGTCGGCAACCTGTCTTGAGTTCTCAGCAAGTGGCACGCAGTTGCTTATCAAGTAGTCGACAACAACAACAACAACTGCTAATAGTACAAATGCTGACCCGTCCATTTGCCCACCAACTGACAAATGTGCAAAATCAGCTTTCATTCAAACAATGAGACCCCTTTTAAGCGAATCTCTGAGTGTGGATCTTGATTTGTGGAACGCTTCTGCAACACTCGGCTTGGAGCTGCCCCACATGTTTGCCTCATGTTGGAATTTTTTTGGGCCGAATATTTTATTCCGATGCTTGTCTCCGAATCAAATCTGATTTGTAAGCATATATGTGATGCTAGGAAAAAATATATATATATACATTTATTTTATATTTTATTATACTATATTATTGACACGAAATTGCAAATTGCGCACATCTTAGAATTGAACTATACTAATTAATTATTATTATTTATTTCTTATCATTATTATTGAGCATCATTACTATTAAACAATTGCCCCTTGCACTGAAAATATTGCATTCTTCACATATTTTCATATACAAAACGCGGGCTAAATTTGATCTGTACCCAAACTTGGCATCTATCAAAAATGCTTAGATAAATGCAATAGTTGGGACCAAAGTTATTTATACTTTGCGGCTGGATCACCCTCAAAAAGATTTTTGAACTATTTTGATTAGGTTTGGTTTAAAAATCCACAATTAATTTCAGATATTGAAATGTGTTTGAATAATTAATACGCAATTTAATTTTTATAGACCTTTTTTTATATTATTTTTTAAAATGCTTTTTTCAGCTTTTTATGGCTACTCCCCCTCGTACTCTCCCATATTCTCTTGTCGAGATAATGCAGCACTGCAATACCTGTGTTTTTTTTTTTCACTTGCGAGTCGCTTGCTTTTGTTCCCAAAAATAAAACTGATGCAATAAGCCAAGAAAATTACGACAAACAAATTCTATTGTAATCAAATCTGTAAGTTATGTAGCGCGCGAGTTGTAGACATCTTAATAAATAGTAAAAATTATTGTTTAAGTTTACAGCTTCATAATATAATCTCAATATACAAAGTGTTTGTCCTGACTGACTGATTGAATGAATGACAGACTGACTGACACACTGACTGACTGCATAAACAGTTGTTTGTTACGTATTTTCAAATATCTCTGTAAAATTTAGCTTAAGACGCGGAGTTCATGTTAGTACAGCTAGATTTAACGGGAGGGAACTGGTTGAAAAAGTTAATTTTAAAGCTTAAAGCCAAGCATATACATATGTATGTGTATATATGCATGTATGTGTGTTTGTATGTATAAATGTACATATATATGCGTGTATGTATGTATGTATGCTTGCATGTATGCGTGTGTGCATGTATGCTTACAAATGCGTACTTACGTACTTAACTTAGCGCTGCTGGGAAAATTTAAAAGCAACGTATTTTTCTCTACTGCCCTACTACTCGATTCTCATAAATTCAAGTAAGCCTTGCAGATTTCATGCCTTAATTTAAAGTGAACCGCGTGTGTGTGTGTGGTGTTGGTAGTCTAGTTAGCTTTCCGTTTGTTTGCTTGTGCCTTTGTATGTATGTATGTATGTATGTATGAATATATGTATGAATGTTTGTATATATGTATGTTTGTATGTATGTATGTATGTGTGTATGTATGTATGTATGTGTGTATGTATGTATGTATGTATGTATGTGTGTATGTATGTGTGTATGTATGTATGTATGTGCGTATGTATGTATGTATATATGAATGTATGTATGTATGTATGTATGTATGTATGTATGTATGTATGTATGTATGTGTATGTATGTGTATGTATGTATGTGTGTATGTACGTATGTATTATTATGGATGTATTCTATGTGCATGCGTGTATGTCTGTTTGTTTGTAAAAAACGTATTCTCAACTTTCCTTCACCGCGATTCTCATGAATTCAAGTAGGTCTCATAGGCTTCACTTCAAGAGGAGGGGGCGTCGGCTGCGGCTTTCATAGGAGTCTTAAGCAAAGGAGGAGGCGGCGGCTTTAATATTAGAGGGCCCGGCAACTTAAGCAAAGGATGAGGCGAACTCAACTATGGTGAAGGCAGTGGCTATGGCTTTGGTAGTGTCCATCGAAAAACTGGTACGTATAATAAACATAACATATAACTTATATGCATGAATTTAATTATGTGTCTTTGTTGAGTTGAGCTGAACATGGACAGGAAGCATATTTAAAAATATTGCTCTACTATGCGATTCTCACTAATTCAAGTAATAATCATTTTCTCTGTTTTTCTGTTCTTTCAGCGATGTGTTTATATAAAATTTCATCTCCCGGCTACTGATAGATGTCGATTAAATAATCGTGCGTGTGAACTTACAGGTGAGTACGCAATTACAAATATATATTTATCTCTAGTAATTTTAATTAAAATCAATAAAAACATCGCCAGTAAATTTCATTAAAATATTTATTTAAATTACGCATAAGAGATATCCAAAAATAATTCGCATAAAAAAGGTATCAAAAATTCATGTAGTTTTACAAATGTTCTTTACAAAAAATAAATCATTATTAAGAAATTATTTATTATAAATTATAAATAATTAGAAATTATTATATTGACGCCAGAGCGAGGTGAGGAGACCGCGTTTCGGATGCGCCTGTGTCGACGTTTGTGAGCGCACGTTCTTCAGAGTGCAGCCCACGGGCAGATTGACCTAGATACAGATAGAGATACAATTAGTTGCAGTTAAAGATACATATATACAGATACAGATGCAAATGGGTTTAAGCTTTATGCATGCCAAACCGTCGCTGGATTTCTCGCATTACAGTTAGTAGATGCTTTGGCTTTGGGTGCGATCTTGGCGAGACGCCGCTTGATGCAGCTGCTCTGAACCGTGGCTGTGGGAACTTACGGATTGGCTGGCGGTCACTTTGACCGGCTGCTTGCCGGGACAAACCACATATGACTCGTGGCCAGCAAAGAGGCTGCTGTGCGTGGCCTGAGTGAGTGCAGCGGGGGCAGAGGACAGGTCCGGGTAGCTAATCTCGGCATGGCTGGGAGCAGGTGTGGGTTCAGCGGCTAGATGGGTAAAAGTATAAATATTGATATAAATAAAGCATAAAAATGGTATAGGTATTGGTATAGGCATAAATACATGTGTTAATATGGCGTTTAAGTTAACAAATAGGTATAAAAATGGGCTAGGTATTGGTATAAATTTATGTATGAATGTATATATTATTATGTAGGTTTAAATATAGGTATTACTTTATGTATAAACAAAGGTAAAAATATTGAGTTATATATAGGCATAAATAAAAATGTAAATGCCTTGCGTATGGGTACAACTATAGAAAACAACTATAGAATAAAGGTATAAATATAGGTATAAATACATGGAAACGAATTGGTATAGATAAAGTATGGGCTCGGCTGTCTACTCACCCTTGACATGTATTTGGAAGCTGCATTGCTGGGTCAAGCCATCCGTGGTGGTGGCTTCATATTTGATGTCATGATCCCCCCGACCGAACAGTGCGCCAGGGAACTGTGGATATATGCCAGAAATAAGCTGGTTCTAAGAGTTTTGAAAGCCCACTTGCTCTACTTACAGATGATTTGTAGATCTTCAAGAGTTTGCCCTCGAAGCGCGGCTCTTCCCAGACAACGGAGCGCAGATTTTGATTCTCCTTCAAATGCACCTCAAAGGAGGGCGGACAGTAGCGGGATGAGGAAGAGCCCAGATCTATGCGAGAGTTTTCGGATGATCTTGGCGATTGTGTCTCCTCAATTGGGTTGACAGCGGGTCGCTCAGCAATCAGGCTCTCGGAACGTCTCAATGTAGGCGATGCATCAAAGAGGCTGGCAAAAGGTTTCGGAGCTGCTCCGAACTGTGGAAGGGAAGCGGATCGAAAGTCTGGAAGTGGCGCAGGTCTAAATGCTGGCGTTGCAGCTGGTCTGAAAACGGGAAAAGATGCGTAAGAGCTGGGAGCCGGTGCCTGCTTGATGGTGATGATGGTCTGGCAGCCAACGGTCTGCGATGTCGCCGGATCGTGGGCCCTGTAGACGATCTTATGCGTGCCCGCGGGCAGATGACCCTGCAGCTGCTTGGCCCAAGCCGGAAAGGCAACCACATGACGATAGTCCAGATTCGTAGCTGGACGCTGGAGTATGACATGGGCCTTGCTCTGATGCGGATTCAGCAGGATGACCACGTTCTCCGGGCACCTGATGTACGGCCGGTTAACTGGAAGCTGGACGGGCACCTGCTGCCGGCGCACCTGTTGAACGGATGACTGTTGTCTAAATGGCTGCTGCTGCCAGGGTGCCTGGACACGGGTCTCTGTATGCAATTGATTGCTCAAGAAGTTCGAGGCGAATGGCTTGCACTCCAGCACGCTGCCCAGGGACCAGCCGTTCATGCAGGTGGTCAGCATGCCGCCAACGGGCACAAAGCCCATGTTGCACTGCAGGTGGCAGATGGATCCAAAGCTGGAGGCGCCCCGGGTGCAGCTGGCGGGCGAGATGACGCCATTGCGCGGCGCCGGCAACGCCGGACAACCGGCCTGGGCGGGCGCAGAGCGTGAGCTGCCCGCTGTCATCCAGCGACGTGGCTGGGAAATGGCTGTGGGAGCAAAGAGGCATGGACAGATTAAAGGAACAGCGACATGGGTTTAATCCTGCGGATACTCACGCACACACTTGTTCTCCTGTCCCTCCCAGTTGCCGGAGGCACCGCAGCTTCTGATCTCGGAGCCGAGCAGCTGGTAGCCGGGATTGCAGCGCACCTTGCAGCGCGTATTGTAGAAGAGTTTGCGTTTGTGGCGATACCTGTTGCAGTGCGCCTGTCCATTGGCCGGCGCCTGGAAGCGCGCACACTGATCTCTCACCTGGAAGCCCGGCAATGCGGGCAATGCGGGCAAGCCTGTCGCAACAATTGGCGGCGTCAAGGGTCTCAGTGTTGGCAATGGGCGCACGGGCATCACGGGCGGAGCTGCCGGAGCAACTGGCGCCAGGGGAACTGGAGGTGGCAGGGCCAGCGCCACCCTGGGCTCAATGGCAGGCACATCGTAGCAGCTGCGCTCATCGAAGGACAATCTCTTGCCCGCCGCGCACTCGCACTTGAAGCTGCCGGGTACATTGACGCAGCTGCCCTCGCAGCCGGCCTGGTTCACGGCGCACTCGTCCACATCCTGGCAGTCGCGCGAATTGGCGGCCAGCTGGTAGCCAGCCGGGCAGCCGCACTTGTAGGAGCCGCGCGCATTCAGGCACTCGTGCGAGCAGCCGCCGTTGTTCACACGGCACTCGTCGATGTCCACGCAGGTGCCGTCGGCGCCGAGCAGCAGGCCCGTGGCGCATTCGATGGGCTCGCAGCCCTGGTCGGTGTGGCGCGCGCCCGGCGGACAGCCGACCAGGGCGGGGCGACAGCTGCGCTCGTCCTCCTGCAGCAGATAGCCGAGCGGACAGCCGCACTCGTAGCTGCCCGGCTTGTTGATGCACTCGTGGGTGCAGCCGCCGGAGAGCAGACCGGCGCACTCGTCCACATCCTGGCAGCTGTGCCCGTCGGCGGCCAGCTCGTAGCCCCTGTCGCAGGCGCAAGCATGCGAACCTAGAAGATTAATGCAAATGCTGCTGCAATTACCAAAATCCAGAGTGCACTCATCGATGTCCAAGCAGCCAAAGCCATCGGCCGCCAGCCGATAGCCCTCGGCACAGGCGCAAGCAAAGCCGCCCGGCTGATTCAGGCAGAGCTGCGCGCACCGCCCGTTGCCCACCAGGCACTCGTCCTCATCCTGACAGCGGCGCCCATCGGCAGCCAGGCCAAAGCCCAGCGGGCAGGCGCACTGAAAGCTGCCCGCCAGATTGATGCAGTAATGCGAGCAGTTGCCATTGGACATCGAGCACTCGTCAATGTCCAAGCAAGCGAGCGAAGCAGAGGATGATGGCGATGACAATGATAATGATGCTGATGATGATGCTGATGATGAGATGCCCAAAGCGTAGCCTGGCTCGCAGAGGCAGGTGTAGGAGCCATTGAGATTCTCGCAGCGCTGACCCGGCTCGCAGGAGTAGCTATTGGTGGCGCACTCGTCTATGTCGAAGCAATAGTTGCTGTGCCCCGCCAGCTGCAGCGGCTCGTAGCCGGCGGCGCACACACACTCATACGCACCTGGCAGATTGCGGCAGAGCTGCTGGCAGCCGCCGTTGTTCACCTGACACTCGTCGACGTCGTCGCAGCTCTTGTTGTCGGCGCTCAGCAGGTAGCCCTTGCTGCAGTTGCAGGCGCCGGCCTCGGCGCTCAGGCAGAGCTGCTCGCAGCCATTGTTGTTGGCCGCACAGGGATCGGGCGCCACGCAGGTGTGTCCATCCGGCTCCTGCAGCGACATGCCACGCGGGCACAGGCACTGATAGCCGCCGGCGGTATTGAAGCAATCGTGACTGCACTTGTGCGTGCCCATGGCGCACTCGTCCAGATCCTGGCAGCTGAACACCTCGCTGGCATAGCCGGGCGGGCAGAGGCAGCTGAAGGTGCTGTTGTCCTCGCTGGGCAGGCAGCTGCCCGGGCGACAGCGCTCGTGGCCCTGCTCCCGGCTGCACACCGACTCCAGCACCACGCAGCTGTGCAGATCCTCGTCCAGCTTGTAGCCGGCGGGGCAGATGCACTCATAGCCGCCATTGAGCAGATTCTCGCACTGGTGGGCGCAGCGCAGGCGATTCAATTGCGGATTGTCCAGGTCCTCGCAGCTGTCGGGCACACAGCTGCTCTGATCCTCGGCGTGCATGTGATAGCCCTCGCGGCAGCTGCAGCGATAGGAGCCGATCGTATTCTCGCACTGCTGCTGGCAGACGCGATGCGGCACATGTTCCGCATCCTCGTTGTCCTCCACGACGATTTCGCACTCGTTGATGTCCTGGCACTCGCCGCCATCCGGCGCGAGCGCAAAGCCCGGATTGCAGCTGGGCTGCACGGCAGCAGGCTCTACAGCCGGCTCCACAGCTGGCTCCACACTCGACTCGACCTCAGACTTGGGTTCGGCTGCATTGCCCTGCGCCGTTTCCTGGGACACGACGTCGGCATCCTCTTTGGTATCCAAGGGTATCACACAGCGATAGGAACCGGGCGTATTCTCACAGCCGTAGGCGCACTCGTCGGCCAGCTCCGGCTTGGCGCACTCATCAATATCTGCGGATTAGAGAAATCCAATTAGCCAGTTCCCATTTGGAGCAGCTTATGCAGCCAGGACTCACCCACGCAGCTGTTGCCAGTGGAGGCATCGATCTGGTAGCCCTTTTCGCAGGCGCACTCGTGGCTGCCGGGCAGATTGTTGCAGATCTGGGAGCAGCCGCCGTTCGACTCCTGGCACTCATCAATGTCTGAAATGGAATAAGTTCAGCTTTTCGATTGGAGCTAGCTGTGGGCACCTACCAAGACAGCTGGCATAGTCCTGCGGATCCAGGGTGTAGCCCTCGTTGCAGCTGCACTTGAGACGCGGCTCATTCTCGCCGGGGAACAGGAGACGCTCGCACTTGTGGGCGCAGCCGCCGCGATCCTCGCCGCAGCTCTCGTCCAGCAGACGTGGCGAATATGGATCCTTTGTGGGCTCCACAACAATATTGATGTCGGTGACAGCAGCTGCCGGCACACCCTCCGTTGCGACTTCCAGCTCTGGCTGCTGCTCCGGTTGTGACTCGGACTCATTCACGTGCACCACAACTTCTGGTTCCGCATCCTCTGGACTCAGTTCTGGCACCACCTCGGGCTCCACTGCAGGCTCCACAGCTGCCTCGGACTCGGGATTAATGGCCAGCTCGGGCTGTGTCTCAACTTGTGGCTCCAGCAACTCCACCTCCGTCTCCGGCTCCTCCTTCTCGACTGGCGGCGGGGGTGGTGGTGGCGCCACAGGCTCCACAGGCTCCACACTCTCACCTAGTTGTGAATCGCTTTCCAGTTCCTCGGCTGCCTCGCCCTCAATCGTTTCGTACTCGTCGTAGTCGTCATCGTTGTCCTCGTCGTCGTCCCCCTCTGGATATTCGACGCGCGGCAAGCAGGCGGGCAGCTCACCCACCCACTGGCTGGCGCTGCAGTAGAGCGCCTGCACCTGGATCCGCTCAAAGTCGTAGTTCTCGTTGCAGGCATAGTAGGCCACCAGGAAGATCTTGTCGCCCCGACGACGTCGCTCGTATTTGGCGACAATGCCATGGCTGATCTCGGGCGCCTGCACCTTGGACTGAATGCAGCTCAGGTCCAGCTGCTGGGCCAGCTCGAGGGCCACGTTCGGCTCCTCGGGAATGGACAGCATCTTCTTCTTGCGCTCGTTGTGATGCGTGCTCACTGTGCCAAACATTCATATATATCATGAGCTCATCCTGCAACTAATTAACCTTCGCTCCACTTACCCTTGCCCTTGCTCTTGCTCTCGATGCAGCTGGGCGGCTCGCCCTGCCATTCCTCGCTGTCCACATTGCAGAGCAGCTCGTTGGGACCCTTCAGCGCATACCCTGCCGCACATTTGTAGACGGCAATGTTGACTTGGCCCCTCTCGAACAGCACGGCCCGAGCATGATCCACGGGCGGCGGTGTCTTACAGTCCTCGTAGACGGCGTGCGTTACTGCAACACGAAAGCTTGTTAATGTCTTAAATATTATAAATTGTATGCCATATACTTGAAACTGGGTTAAAGAAGGCATATTGGTTTTGGCAGAAAGAGGCTACTCCTGACTTAACAAAATATATATAAATTGCCATGTCCATCTGTTTGTCTGTCCGTCTCTTTGTTAGAATCTCTCAGACTATTAAAGCTAGAGACTTTTAATTCGAAACCTAGTTTCTCTTCACGCAAATCAATTTCATTTCAAATCAGCGATAATGCTAAATCGAAAAGAATCGATTTTAAGAATAAGATTTTTGACCATATTTTAGATCTAATTAAATCTAGAGAATCCAAATATTGTCCTTAATTTCTCTTTAGTTTTTTTTTTTAGTTTTCGGTTTCTTCTTCACGTTTCCCCCGAAATAGAAGATCAAGCGCATTTTTGGAGATATAGCTTTAATCTTTTGCATATACAGACTTGTGAATAATATATTTAGGCAGTGCAAAAATTCAGAAAGATCTGTAAGTCTCTGGGTGCAGGGTATCTTCTAGTCGGGCATGCTCGACTAGATCACTCTTATGGTGAATATCATTACCATTATTTAAGCTCGATCCCAAGTACACTAATAAAACGGCTATCTCCAAAATGGTTTGAAGCCTTACTTTAGAGCATAACTCTCTGGGTACAGGGAATCTTCTAGTCGGGCATGCTCGACTAGATCACTCTTATGGATAATATCATTAACATTATTAAAGATCGATCCCTCAGCCTGGTTCTGCAAGTGAACTAATAAAACGGCTATCTCCAAAATGGTTTTATAGTCTTCTTTTATAGAACATTACGAAGAGCTCTGTTAAATCGTTGCTAAAACAATATTTATTGTCATGATGTTTATTTTTATCTTTTCGGAAATTTACGAGCAGTATCTATGTTTATAGTTTGTAAATTCTGGCCGGTAATTAAGTGGACTCTTTATAGGGCTGCGCTGGGGCGTGGGGGACTGTCATAATGCTAAAGATGTGCCAGAGACAAACTGGCCATGATTCATCAATATGCTGATCTAGATCTGACGTACACTCTACACATATAACATATATAGGACGTTGTCATAAAAAGTGCATATATAAAACTGTATCTTACTCATAGATATTATAGCAAATGGTTTTTATGGCACATCTGGATATGTTTATGGGCCATTAGAAAAGGTTACAAGTTTTGGTTGGCATAATATTTAAAAATACCCCAAAAGACATATATATTTATTAGTTCCCGTTGAGAAGTGTGAACCGTAGCACTTCAATCTGTAGAAAACTATGAGACTGTCATATTTTATATCTTTATGATATATATTTCCCATTTCCCAACTTTGGGCCGCCCACTTACCTCCGGAAAATGAAATGCAGCCCAGCACACACAAAACAAAATGTGCTGGCAACATTTTGATGCCTTATAATAATCTTTATATTGGTTCGAAACTATTTCTTATCCACCTTTACACGTTCGAATTTCTTTTCTTATTTTTTTTTTTTTGCTTCTTTTAAAAATAACAAGCCATTAATTAATTTCAGTTTTCAGAACATTTTGTGAAGACGAGAGCTGGCTGAAAATATAGATGTGTATAGATAGATGGTATTAAAATCCATTAAGATTAAGGCGGCTTTATAAATAGCACGAAAGGCCCCAACAGGCCGCACAGCACTTCATCTGCACATATATATGTGTATATATTATAATAGGAAAAACTATTTTCACATTTGTCCACGCGAAAGCAATACTCCACATCATTCACATCAGCCGCATGCAAAACTTTATGGAAACTATAAATCAAAGCCACGCAATCCGATTGGAACATCACAGATATATCAATTTATACACATATATACATATATATATATATGACTTTATATGCAGCCTGCACTTGAGGTCACGCGTAGGATATCAAATTGTGAAACTATCTGCAAGGATTTGGTTATAAGAAAACGCACCGTTCCCGACGAGCGCCAAGGCAAGACTGAGGCCAGACAAGTAGCGCCCGTCAGCTCATCGGAAGGGAACCAAGAAATTTGTCTCCAAAAAGATATATTTATGCTGATCTTTCATGTCTATCATAAAGCAAATTAGCGCGAGAGTCGCGCACAAGTGTCGCCGCCCGCAGGGAGATTGGGAGCACAACAAAACGGCCTATTTTTAAGATGCCTATATGAACATCATCATCATCATCATCATCATCATTATGATCATCTGAAGGTATTCTCATTAGCATTCACAATGATCATTTCGAATGCTTGAGAAATTGATGAGTTCTCGCTGTGGCCCACTGCCAAGGAGCGTGTCAAAGTTGCTCGCAATGAACTTGATGACAATGCAGCTCAGTGAATGCAATGAATACTCGGAATTTAATAGGTAATGCTCTTCAAAAGGCAGCTAGGTTAGGTTGTCGAAAGTACTCAAGAGTACCGAAGAGATAATCGCCTAAGGAACAGGGGAAACATTTAACTATAATCAAATAAAAATTAAATGTAGATGCCATATTAATCTAGAGGATAAACATTACTATTCATGGTATTCCTTATGATAGATGCCTATAAAACTTTGAATTCATCATGGAGATGCCAAGTTTATCTAGAAAAACAGTTGGAACATTTAACTATAATCAATTTATATGTAGATGCCCTATTAATCTTGAGGATAAACATTACTATTCATGGTATTCCTTATGATAGATGCCTATAAAACTTTGAATTCATCATGGAGATGCCAAGTTTATTTAGAGAAACAGTTGAAACATTTAATTGTATTTAAATAAAAATTAAATGTAGATGCCATATTAATCTAGAGGATAAACATTACGATTCATGGTATTCCTTATGATAAATGCCTATAAAACTTTGAATTCATCATGGAGATGCCAAGTTTATCTAGAGAAACAGTTGAAACATTTAATTGTATTTAAATCAAAATAAAATGTAGATGCCATATTAATCTTGAGGATAAACATTACTATTCATGGTATTCCTTATGATAGATGCCTATAAAACTTTGAATTCATCATGGAGATGCCAAGTTTATCTAGAGAAACAGTTGAAACATTTAATTGTATTTAAATCAAAATAAAATGTAGATGCCATAATCTTGAGGATAAACATTACTATTCATGGTATTCCTTATGATAAATGCCTATAAAACTTTGAATTCACCATGGAGATGCCAAGTTTATCTAGAGAAACAGTTGAAACTTTAAATTGTATTTAAATCAAAATAAAATGTAGATGCCATATTAATCTTGTGGATAAACATTACTATTCATGGTATTCCTTATGATAGGTGCCTATAAAACATTGAATTCAATTCATTTTATTCAAATGAAAATGAAATGTAGATGTTAAGTTTATCTAGTAGATAAGCCGTAATATTCATGGTATTCCCCATAAATTAAAATAAAATGTTGATGACAAATTAAACTAGAGGATACACTCAAATCTTGATGATATACCTAATGATAAACGTATAAAAGACATCGAACACATTTAATTTTATTCAAACGAAAATAAGATGCCAAGTTTATCTAGAGGATAGGCCGAAATATTTATGGCATTCCTCAGAAATGAAAATGAAAAGTATTTGACAATTCAAACTGGAAGATAAAACTTTATCTTAATGGCATTCTCTATGATAAACGATTTAAAAGACTTTGAAGAACTTTAATATTTTTCGTTTTTAATCATAATGTTAATCATAATCAATATTTATATTTTAATTTTTAATATTAATATCTTATAAGCATGATTTCAAATGCTTAACTGACTCTTGAAAAAACACACACAACTCATTCTATTGTACTCATAGCCGGACAACGTGAATACAACAACCACCCGGAAAGAACTACAAGAGCACTCCAAATAGAATCTCAATTCGATTCGGCTGACTAATAAATATTAATGAGTTGTTGTCTAGTCAAGCGAGAAAACGTCATTTGATTATCGAATTTTATGGTTAATCTAGTAACAAGAGTTGATTTGTTGGGGTCATCAGACCAAAATTTAAACAAATGCCACATTATTGTATATTAATAATTATTATTTTTAGCTATATTTGGATGTAACTGGCAGTTGCTGTTCTTAATATAAATAATATCCATGTGCTGCCAGTAGATAGATATATGTATGACAGCTTTTGCGGCACAATCAAGTTATGATTTCGAATGGATGACATGAGTTATATAAGGTAGTTATTAGTGGGTTGCTACTACATGCTAAATATATATATATATATATATATGCTATATGATAATATCAGCCTTCTTCTGGATGAGTGTGAGCACGAGTTCACAAGTGGCGCGCCTTCAGGCTGCCATCCTCGTTGTGGGTGCGTATGTATTCCAAGGAGCGCAGAATGTAGCTGGGCGTCGGCGGCGGCTGTGGCAGATGTCTGCCGACCACATGGAAGCCCAGCTCGTCGGCTATGTAGCGCGTCTCGATGGGCACACCCTCCGGCGAGGTATAGCTAAATATGCCAATCGTTTCCAGTGCGCTGCCCGCGGCCTGCACATCGATGCCATTGCTCGTCCTGAAGGCGAACTTGAAGACGCCCTCCTCGTCCAGCGGCGAGACGCGATAATCCGTAATCTGTGCATCCCGTTCACTGGCCTCCCCCACCAGGCGACGAATGCGTCGAATGCGCACCAGTCGCCCGTCCAGCTGGCCACAAAGCAGCGCCAGGCACAACCAGGTGATCAGCTAGATTCAAAACAAGAAACGAGAGACGAGAGACGAACATTTTGATCAGCAACATGTTTCGATTTGGGTCGCGGAAAGCACAAGGTCGTGGGGCTTACAAAATTGCGCATATTTGTCGAGAGCACCAAAAACACTTTTTTATAACTATAAATTATAACTCTTGTTTATATAATAATCAATCGATTTAATGTTCGTTCCGAACTCGCCGCGAGCTCCGCGAGGTTCAAAGTTAGCCAACGTACTGCGGGTCGAGCGCGTGTTGCCAACTTTATATTTATACGAACAGTGTGAGAAAAACGGCGGCCCAAAGCGAAATCGATGAAAAACCAATAAACAAACATAATCAAAATGTCAATAGTATCTCAGTTAGCCGTTTTAGTCGTTTGGCTCTCGGCCAGCTTCACGCTTGATAACAACAGGCCGAAACGCTTGGCCCACGATGGCCATTCATCCATTTCCGTTTAAGCCGCGCTAATAGCCATAATTTTGTTTGTTAACACAATATTTATGTTGTATTCGCTGACTGCATTTTATGCGATTTCCAGAGTTCTTGGTTCCGAAACCAATTTGGTCAATTTATGAATATAAGTATAAAACGGAATTCGTAATCGTTTGTATCGTATCTGTGTTATTGTTTAGGCCAATAAACTAAGCAATCATTTTATTGGCCAACCAGTTTGTGTAATAAACAATATTAGTTTTTAACAATAGAATTCCCGACGCTTTGGTTCACAGGTCGAGCCAACTTCCTGCCCCCTCTGCTTCAATTTAATAAATAAATTTAAATAAATTACATTTTTAAAAGATAAACTAATTTCTTATTTTCAATCGCCCGTTGTACTGAAAATATTGTCAAGCCATAAATATTTTCACATACAAAACGCGGGCTAAATTTGATCTGTACCCAAAAATTGTCATCTATCAAATATGTTTGGATAAATGCAAATATTGGGTTTTTATTTATGTTTATATTTTGGGGCTGGGACTGGCCTAAAAGTTTTTGATTTTGAATTATAATATTTGGTTCAAGATTCGCTTCATCTGGTTTTAATGGGAGCATAGTAAAAAAAAATATATATATATTTTGGAATTCCGGTTTGCAGCCTTGACAGCGATTAATTATGGTAACATAATATCCCTTAGTTGGGAGCTTTTGACTTAATTCCTACTTCGTTGATATGTAAATGTTGCGAATTAAATGGAAAATCAATTTGCAAAAAGATAACATGAATATTTACTAAGTTTATGACCCACAAACTTGATTTATCTGAGGCTTATCTTTAAATTAATGTTAAGCCAGATTTGCTTGGTACTCGCAGGGTTCGTATTTGTACAAAAGGTCAGAATTTCGGATTTGTAACTTACGCTCGACTATTTCCTTTTATTGGATCCCCGTTTGAGGCACCTGCTGCAGCCATCCATCATTTATGCTGTGCTTAGTTACATTTTTCCATCTTGAGGCCGTGTCCAGCGTCTAGAATTCAGTCCAATTAGCAAGTGTCTATTAATTTGCACACATAAATTTGGGCTTATATAGCGCCAATACGGAAGCTGTAGATCGCCCATAAAAATCATATCTTTTGAGAGACGCCACATTCCACTTATGAATACCATTAAAATTATCAAAACAGATAAAAAACTAAAACACATGCACAGAAATATGCCACATAAAAATTTGAGAAAAAAAAGAACATTAAATACATTTGATTAGAAAACTTTAAAGCGAATTTCTGGCCGTTTCTCAGTTCCGTATCGAGATGATAATTATCTTGTTAGCCGGAGTTCTAAAGCGCTTCAAAGCCAATCAACGACTGATTCTAGTGAAATATATTGAAAGATGCTTTGGCTGGTTTTTTTTTTATTTGTTCGGTTTTCAATGCCCGTGGCATAAATTTTCCCTGGCCAAAACGGGAGGTGTGAGCAGCTGCGAGTTATGCAAATCAATTAAAGAACTGAAACCGAAAGCTGCCCCATAAATATATGCATACATTTAATAAATACATATATATTTTTTGTGCTGTCAGCTTTGAGACGAGCAGCAAAAGTGTCGACACACACAGTCGAGTTGTCGGTCCAACTATATTTCGAGTTTTTCGTGTTTCGTATTTGTAGTTCATCAAATTCTGAGGCTAAGATGTGATTAAGCTAATAGTATTAACAATAATGCCCGTGAAGCAATTCGTGCTTAGATCTTGAGGCAATCAACTGCAGTTTTTAAGCCTAAAAAATTTGACATCATTTTTGTTCACAACAATCAAGCTGATTTCTTTCAATCTCTTGGCTTGTCTTTTTTTCAGTTTTTGTATTTTCCTTCAAGACAATGCGAATGTCACAGCTCTTTCATAAATTTGCTGATTGATGCGCTGATTGATTTTTAACGCCTTGAGCGCTGCGCTGCGTGTGGGAACTGGATATGGAACAGATTGATAATGGGTGTGGTTCAAGTCGTGCAAGGTCTAGGTCGGCATACCTCTGCTTGGCTGCACAGTGTTGCAAGAGCTGCACGAATACAGTAGCACCCGCTCGTGACGGACAGTTCAAAGAGTGTGCCGCCACGCATAGATACCCATTAATTTGGCGCATCGTTATATTTATTCCACCCGAAACCAGTTTAATCCATCTTAGCTGACAATTGTTAAATAAAATCGACCATATATTCGATTCGTATCAATTTGCCAATACTTGAACTTCATTAGACCGCGACACAATCTCCGTGTTTGGCATAATTATAATGCCCGAGAGCCGAAATCGAATGCTCAAATACGTGCCAATAAATCGCCGTGACGAATAAAATAAATATGTACGTACCTTTAGCATTTCGCTTGCATGTTCTTAATTTGAAATCTCAATTTGAGATACATTTCGTAATACGTGAAACTCTGATAGACCAAATTATCACATTATACTTCCCGTTTTTTTTAATCGCACTGTGCGCAATTACATGAATTGTTGGCCAAGTGGTTTGGCAAATTAAATTCATTTTCAAAGTCACTTTTAATGCATATATTAAAAGCGGCTTTCATTGAAGTGGCCAGCTGCTGAATTTGACGCGTTTTTCATGCGCTTTGTACCACTGTGCGCCACACCTGCAAGCGCTTCACACTCGAATGCCATAACACAGACAGGTCCGAATTTGGCTATCAAATATTTCAACCTTATCAAATACTAGACATATATACTAATGGATTGTATTGGCTCTGGCCAGCTATATATCAAGTAGCTCGTATATTTTCTAAAAAGACTTCTGTCTTCATCTCTGGAGAGTTTTATTAATTTTGTTGAATTTATACTTAGAACCGCCCGCTAACAATGTGTTAGAACTGAGTCTTCAAATTCCGGTGCGCTCGGCGAGAGAGAATCGCTTAATTTTAATATCGAAAGCTTCTTTTTGCATTTGCCAAATGCTATTTTGACAGTTCCAAATTAACTTTCAAGCCCAACGGATCGCGTCGCACTCGCCGCAGCCTTCGAAGCGAACGCATTGAGATCAACGCCCCTTCCCCCAGCCAGCCAGACAGACAGACAGATCGTCAGAGACAGCCACATATATCGCATATATACAGGGTATTTAGAGCGTACGATGTATTCGCGTCATCAGAGTCGGAGTCGCATGTCTTCCAAGGTATGTGCTTCGTTTTCATATACAGATTGCCCTTGCTTATGAATCCAGCCTCGTCTGATCCAGCTCCAGCTCCGGCTCCGGCTGCTACTCTCGCTGCTGCTGCTGCTGCTGCCAATGGGAACCGCAGGTCCTGCCGCGCCGGCTCACACCATCTACTATCGCAATCAGCCGCCCGATGCGGCCGGACACTACGACTTTGAGTTCCAGACCTCGAATGGCATCACCACAAAGGCGGCGGGCAACGAGAATGGCGCCGTGGGCGTGGTCCAGTATGTATCGCTGGAGGGTCTGCCCGTTACCTTCACGTATGTGGCCGATGACAATGGCTATCAGCCCAGCGGTGACCATGCCCCAAAGCATCTGGGGCGCCAGCTGGAGTACATCCGGACGCATCCGGCGGTGGATGAGGCGCAATCGAGACGTTGGTAAAGCTCAATTTGGGCTCTTAAATATGTATTTATATATGTACATATATCTGTGTGTATATGTCTAGCTAAATTGTCAATTAAATGACTGTCGTCGTTTGGATTAAGCAGTCATTATTTTATTGATCTTTTTGTAACAGTACAATTTAAATTTGAACGCTTGTTGTTATTAAATGCAAATGCGATTGAATTCCATGTTCAAAAAAAAAAACAACAAAAGCTGCTCGTTGCCCGTTTTGTTTGTCCATGCCAAAATTTTTGATAAATATACTAACTGAAAACAAAATTAAATATCTACTATTAATTATATTAAATGCCAATGCCAATGGCAACCAGATTTGAACCCGGGCTAGCCCGAGAAAATGCATAAGCTGGAACTCTTTCATTCTTTTATTAGCCCAAAGTATGCTCTAGTCGGGTGTGCCCGGCACTCAGACACCCTGCTCTCTATATTAGCGACGCAAATCGTTTTTGTATTTTTTAATATTCGTATTTAAATTAAAATTAAGATTTGCGCATCTAACGGCATGTCTGCCCATGAACATATATACTTTATAGAGGCGGGCTTTTATGCATTATTCAGAGTACACGTTTTGACCATGTTTAAAGGGGTATGACAACCTGTTGTCAAGCACTTTATACAGTTAAGAAGTGTCCAAATTTTAAAACATTTTGAAATTAAGATATGACGAAAAAGTTCATAAATAACCCAGTGATATATCTAAAGTAATTAGAAGAGTTTATTTTTTCTTTTATTATTTTATATTAAATTTGTAATTTTTGACATTTGAAATAAAAGCTTTGTTTCGATCAAAATGCGATCAAATATAAACGAAATGCCGAAAAAAACACGTCAATTTAATCAAAATTTCTCATAATCTGTTTCGTTATTTATTCTAAATAGTTTTTTAAATTTATTTTACATTCATTTTATTAGCATCATCATTTTTTGATTTCAATTACTTTTAATTTCGACATTTAATTATAAAGAGCATAAAAATATTTAAAAAAAAATACTGTGCAAATTTAGAGTTTAATCAGAATTTTATTTTCTCAAAAATTTATGCATTCAAAATACTCTTAATTTGGAACACTTTTATGGAAACCTCTTAATTGATTGATTTATATTTATGTATACAAAAAGTGTGGGTAAAAAAAAACTGATAATGGGCTATCATTTATCAATCGGGCAAGTGGAAATATTTACATCTTTAGTGCGGTTAGTTTAGAACGACTTTCGAATCGTTTACCAAAATTGGATGGCATTCGTTTACATTGTGATCGTTTAATTGAGGCCGTTGCATAATATTGACCGACTCTTCAAGCTGGAGATTATGTAGCCCGACGAATAGACCAAATAGCCGTCAAATGTTGCTTTTAATGTGACCGACACGTCGAGCCGACCAGCAACCAGCAAAAGGCCAACAAAATGTTGTTGATGCAACTCAAAGAGTAATCCCACTAAGCCGCGTCCTTGGCTGGAGTCTATTTAGTTAACCCGAATCCATGGCGTGGTCCGAGTGGAGATTCTGTATGGAATATAATGTTGACAGCTGCACATTAAATGCATTAATTAAACATTTTATAAGATATTTATAAATTATTCATGACGCTTCTTGTTGAAATATATGTATAATATCTTACTTTGTGGCTAAACAATGTTATCTTCGATTAAAAATAGGTAACTCAACGACAGCTTAAACTGTCTAAATAGACATTTATTTCACAAATTGCCTCGGTCTATTTGGCTGACTAGGAGTTACCCTGGAAACGAAAGAACTAGAACTTATGTATGTATATCTAGGTGTATCTAGCTCTTAGCTCAGATATATTTAAATGTTATTCTAGGTATGATACTTGATATATCTTCCTTAGCTCGCATAAGGCAAGCTCGGCTCAGCTGGTTATGCTGCTCAGGAATATATATATGGTATGTACATATGCTTAAGTTGATCAAAGATGCACAAGTCTCACTTCCCTTTTTGTAACTACATACAGTAGGTACAGGGTATTAAAGTATCCATCAAGTCGTTTCGCTTTGGCATGCAGGTAGCCAAGTGCATTATTTGAGATTAAGACTTAATTGCCAAAACAAGCACATATATTTAATGTCCAGAACAAGGTAATAAAAATGCCCTAATGAGTTGGAAGATTACTCAAATTTAGCTTCAATGCCAACTCCAACAATATTTATAAACAAAGGCAAATTAAAGGAATTAAACGTAAGCACAGACATCTAAAATAATAAATATAAAAATTCCACTAGTTGCGCAATTAATGTTCGCAATGTTCGCCCAAACAAAAAGAGTATTCGCTTATCATAGTCAAATTCCCATATCGATTTCAGGTATATGCGATACCTTCCCCCGCCGCCTCCCCAACAAGATATTTGCACACCAAAATGAGTTCAATGTACGTAACGAGTATTTCTTTGAATTGTTTACAAACTACAACTTATTGCGATCTATCTACAGATATATATATATATATATATATATTTATGGCTCTGCTGTTGCCTTATCTACATCTACATGCAAATTGAATTCCAAACACTCTACCAAACGCAACAAAATATAAAACAAGCTTTGTTTAAGTTATTTTTTTTTTATCATCTTTTTGTGGTTCTCATTTTTCACACAATCGCATATCTTTACATTTGCCATACAATATAAGTCAAGAGTGTGTGTGTGAGGGGGTGAGTGTGTGTATGTGAATGAGTGTGCTTCTGCAACATCGAGCTTAGCTCGGCTTTAGCTCAGATGTCGGGTTCGTTTGAAATTATGTCTTCAAGTTGGGATACTTTGGGAAGCTGGTCGAATTTATATTCAATTTTGCGGGTTGTTGTTGTTTTTTTTTTCGTTTTTATTTAGTGTTTATGTTTATAATTGTTTTTGTATATTATTAATTATAATTCAAGCATCTCTTGTAATCATCTATGAACTGTTGGTTTTTTTTTTCTTTTGTTTTTGTTTTTTTACATTGTATAGTTTATTCTTTTTGTGGTTTGCCTATGCTAAAACTAAGCCTAACACGTTCCGCCAAGTCCAGAACAATTGCCAATCCAGATGCCAGGGCCCAAATATGATCGTTGGCAGCAATTGTGAAGTGCTTCGATCACGTTTGCAAATCTGTTGTTTTTGTTGTCAACTGGAGTGTTAATACATAAGCTTGTTTGTTTGATGTGTGTGTGTGTGAGTGTGAATGTGTGCTTTTGTGTGTATATAAAATGCGGATGTGCTTGTGTATTTCGGATGTTGTGCCGAGAGTTTGTCCAGAGCCCAGTGTAGCTACTGTTTGGTCTATAAATCTATTAAAACCTACAAAAAATAAATTCGAATTAATTTACAACTTTCAGTTGGGAATTGGCAATGTGGGCCACACACTCACCAGTCCTCATCGATTGCCAGAATTGTGTTGTGTTGACGGCCCCGCTCCTAGGGCCAGTCCTAGTCCGTTTTCGTCTCTGCAAACTCTTCCAGCGCAAAGAAGCCGGCTGTGCCGCCAGTGCTACTGCTGGCCGTGCTGGTGGTCACCGCAGCGGCTGCCGTGGTCACTGTGACAGTTTCGCTGGTTTGGGCCTCTTCGGCGGCCTCCTCTTGGGCGGCCTCTGCCGCTTCCTTCTCCTCGGCACCCGCCTGGGCTGCCTCCAGCACTTGCTGCTGGACTTGCACAATGGGCTGGCCGTCTTCGGTGTAGGATACGGAGACTGGTATGCGTGTGCCATCCTCGCTAATGACGTGCGGCCCCTCCTCGCCATCCTGGCCCTGCTGTATTATGATTTGTCCCTCGGAATTGAGCAGCGAGGCATCGATCAGCTGCTGCTCATTGTTGTCGCCATGGACGAGCACCATCTGGCCACTGCCATCGGTCATCATTTGCAGCGTCTCGCCCTCGAGTCCCTCGCCGGACTGCAGCACACCGACGCTTTGCAGCAGCTGCTGTATTTGCTCCGGATCTTGCACAATAATCTGATTACCGTCGGCATCGGTCAGTATGTGGTTGTCCAGCTGCAACAGATGCCCATTCTCATTGACAATGAACTTGATCTGTCCGCCATCGACTTGGGCCTGCATGGCTTCGTCCAGTTCCATGGCCACCTGTTGTTCACCGCCGGCTGCCTCACCCTCGGCACTTGCTGCTGCCTCGGCCTCGGCAGCTTCGTTAGCGGCTGCCTCTGATTCGGCTGCTTGCTCAGCCGTCGGCGTGTCTGTGGCCTCACGTTTCTCAACTTCGCCCTCCGCCTCGCCAGCTTCGTCGGCAGCCTCTTTGGCCTTCTCCTTGGCTGCTGCTTGGTCTGCCTTGGTGTTGGCTTTCTCGCTGGCCTTGCTACTGGCTGCATTGCCATCTGTTGTGTCCGCTGCGTTGGCTGCAGCTGCCTCATTGTCATCGTCCAGGCTGGGCATGGAGACCGGCGCCGCGTTGGACTTGCCGCCGTCTCTGGACTCGGTGTGTTTGTTGTCGTTGCTGCTTTGGGATTGAGACTCCTCTTCTTCGGCCTGATCCAGTACAGGCATGTCAATGCTAACCGAAACGGGCGCCTGCGAATTGGGCGAGTTCTTCTCGACCTGCTCGCCACTGGCATCTACTTGTGGTATGGTTATGTTGAAGGTTATGCCACCGCTGCCCTCCTGTGAGGTGATGACCATTTCATTCTTGCCGCCCTTCTCCGTATCTGACTTCTCCGAATGCAACTTCTCGAATAGACTCTCGATGTCCGCCTCGGCGCTCTGCTCGTGGGACTCCTCCTTGACGCCGACGCCCGACTCGCCCGGCTCATCGCTGAGCAGCGCCGTGGCTGCCGAATTGAGCGCTGTGTTGCCGCCACCGCCAGCAGCTGCGCTCTTCTTGTCGCGCCTGTGTGTCTCCATGTGGTGATTGTAGTACGTCTCCTGGATGAAGGTCAGCGAGCAGATGCTGCACGAGAAGAAGCGTATATTATTCTCAGCCTCAGCTGCGGTGGCCACAACAGTGCCGCCTGCCTGGGCCGGCACGCTATCGCTGAGCGCCTCGTCAATGGTCTCCTGGAGCAGCTTCTGTGTGTTCAAGTTCTGGCTGCCACCGCTGGAGGCAGCCAGCTTCTCGCTCTGATGGAGCTCGGCATGCTTGACCAGCAGTTCGCGTTTGGGGAAACTCATCGAGCACTGGCCGCACTTGAAGTAGTTCGTCTGATGCTGCTTGGCGTGCACAGTGGCCGCCTCGCGGGTCTCGAAACGCTGCGAGCAGAGGCGACATTTGAACGGCTTCGGCTTGCCGCTGACATGTTTGCGCATGTGCTCATCGAAGACGGCCTTGTCGGTCGACTTTAGCTGACAGTGATTGCATGTATATAGAGCCGAGCCGGAGGCACCGATCGTCTCGGTAACACCGGCTGCAGCAGCGGCGGCTGCAGCAGCAGCGGCCGCTGTAACCGGCGCAGCAGCAGCCGGAATTGTTGTGGTGCTGGTGACCAGCACATTTGTCGCATGATTGGTTTCCATGTGCTTGCGCAGGCTGGCCTCGTTCACGAAATTGATGTGGCACATGGCGCAGGTGTTGTCCATGGCGGTGTTGTGATCCCTGACCATATGCTGCTTCATGGCGCCAAAGTGCGGGAAGATCTTGCGGCAGGTCTTGCACTGGAACGTCTGCTGTTTGCATGTCTCGTAGTGCGTATTGAACAGACGCATGTCCGAGGTCTTGTAATCGCACGAGGTGCACTTGTAAATCTTGGTTGCCTTGCGCTGCACCTGCGTCTGTGTGCCAGCCACGGCGCCGCCCTGTGGCGTGGCCAGCTTCAGCTGCTGCGAGACTGCGAACCGAGGCAAGCAGAACAATTATGATACTTAACGCTGGCTAATAGTTATATATTTACACAGTTACCCACCTGGCGTTGTCTGCTGCACCAGCTTGCGTGTGCGCAGCAAGTCCCCGCCGGCGGCCTCCTCCAAGGAGCGATTACCCGCGCCGCCGGACAGCTTTTGCATCTTGAGCGGCGGACTGGCTGCGTCCGCATGGCTGCTACCACCGCTGTCCTCGTTGATGCCATACTTTTTGTTCAGCAAGTTCAGCAAATTGGTCTTGACGCGCTCCACATCATTCTCGAGACGATCGTAGTAGTTGACCAGATTGGTGCAGCGCGAGCAAACGAAATCCTCGTTGCAGACAATCACCAAGAAGCCCTCGCCCACCAGCTGGGCCAGCTTGTTTGGAAATTTGGTGGAGGTGTGCGTGGTGCACATCTCCGTCAGCGACGTCTGCGTCTGATTAACCAGCAGCGGCTCATCGCAGATGTAACAACGTGCTGCCGCCTCCGAGTCCATGATGTTCTGCTGCTGCTGCTGCTGCGATGCGGTGCTCACGTTCGAGCTGCCGCCTCCAGGTGTCGCCAGACGCGTTGTTTTCAATATGCGCGGCTGGCCGGGACCGGTGACGGTGACCGCGCCGCTGCTGAGCAAATTATTGAATTTGCGGTAGGTGGCCGGGGTTAGTTGATTGTTCATGTTAGTGTGTGTGCAATGTGTGTGTTTGTGTGTGTGTCTGTGTGTGCGAGTGCGTGCAGATCTCGTTGGCTATTATTCTAGTATATGTATGTTTCTTAACTTTTTTTTTATTCCTTTTCAAAAACCCTTGCATTCACGACCACATTTATTATGAGGCAAACACAAACTGAAGTACTTAGCAATCGGCACTTTGTTGTATTATTTTTATTTTGAATTTTTCGAGCTAATCGGCAAGCAACAACAATTTGTTGAAGTTTATTTCACGTTTGTATGCCGCGGCGTCACTTCGACTGTACTAAAGTCTATCGAGAGTGCTGTATTATTTAGGGTTAAATGCTTATATGCTGCAACTGGCAGTATGCTTGTCTCGTTCTAGCGTACGCATGCGGGCTCATATTTGCCTATGCGATAGTTGGCTGTCTCTTTCACACGATGCGGAAATGGCGGCCGTTCTGGTGGGCATGCATGTTCAGACGCACATATCAAGCAACTATTGACGTGTGCTGCGCATCATGCAAACTTGTAATACGTAAGTACAAATCGGGCGTGTGCCTAGAAAGTATTGGAAGCATTACAAATATTACCAAAAATAATTTATTTACAAATAGAATGCAACAACAATTACTAGGCGCATGTCTTTGAAATATATTTATGTTTGTCAGTCAAGAGTTGCTCGCATCGTACGACTTGTCGTTGTATAGACTGCTGTACTTAGTACTGCCAACTGCCGTTGGATGGCGCTTACGGCGCGCGCGCCATTCAAAAATTAACATATTTGCGGTATGTTCGGAAACACAATTATTTTATGGCCGATAAGAATTTTTACAACTATATACATCAATAATGTGGCTAATATGACGATAAGATTCCTCAGCGCTTTGCTGTCGCTAGTTTTTTTTTTTTAGTTCGCTTCGATTTTAGCCAGCGAAAAACTTTACTAGGCAGCGGCAAGTGTGTCGGGGCAGGGGACAGGGGGCAAAACGCTTGGAAATATTGAGGCTCGCTTATCAGCAACCTCCGCTCACCGATAATATAATATAGCATTTACCAACGCACTCACATATTTGGTAACGTTGCTCACGGCCAAAAAGACGCATTTCGGCCGCCGTTTTTCAGTTGGCAAACGATACGAAAAGCGAACGCAGTTCAGCGTAAAGTCGAAACGAAACCAAAATCTATTGAAAATAAAAGTGTGCTCAATAATTTGTACTGGCCATTTCTGATACAGCTACCCGCTGTTTGTTTTTATCATTGTTGTTCTTATTGCCCTGTGTTGTGGTATTCAAAGTTGGCCACTATCGGTTATCAAAAAAAAAAATCTAATTGAAAATAGCAAAAAAAAAAAAACGAAAGACAAAGTATCGCAAAATTAATTGGCCCATGTTACGGAGCAACAATTCCCAGTACCCACGACCGTGTCCGTCCGGTTGATTTAGTTGCTTAAAGCACGTCGCGCTTTCGATACGTAGCTGCCGCCCACTCGACCAGAACGACGTTGCAATAAGGGGCGTGTCAATTAGCTGATTCGAACTAGATAGAAAGCCTAGCCAAAAGCCAAAATGTACGGACATCAAAGGCCGGGCATCCGGAACTTTGACTCCCTGAAAACCTGGTCAAACTGGGCCGGAGCACTCGGCGTGGTGAGTAAATCGAAGCTGTTATCTGCAGCGGCAGCGGCAGCGGCAGCTGCAGCTGTCGATGGATATTGACCTCATTCCCGTAATTGATAAGAGCGCGTCCGCGTGGGCCATCTCTCGATTTTAGATACAGTTTCGACTGTGTGAACTGTGCATACTCGTTCAGAAAAGCGAACAGTGTATATTTGCTCTGTGAAGTGTTTCTTCATCTAAGCAGCTATTAATCTGTTCCTCGGTTCTTCTGTCCGTTCGTCGATTCGTCTATCCATCCGTCCATCCATCCGTCTATCCATCCGTCCGTCCAGCTGTCTATCCATCCGTCCTTCTATCCGTCCGTCTATCCCTCCGTCCATTCGTCTATCTATCCGTCCGTCCATCCGTGTGTCCATTTGTCTGCCATATCGTCTGTATATTCGTCTGTCTGTCCGTCCATTCTCGGTCCATTCCTTTGTCCGTCCGGCTGTCCTTTCGTCTGTCCATTTGTATGCCCATCTGTCCGTCCATTCTCTGTTCATCTGTCTGTCCATTCCTTCATCCATTCGTCTGTCTATCCGTCGGTCCCATTATCTGCCCATCCGTCCGTCTGTCCATCCGACTATTCGTCTGCCTATCCAACTGTTCGTTTGTATTTTGGAATAAATAAAGTATACAAATTCTCGAGCCTTGCCCATTAGAAGACACAGTCTTAAAGCTCAAATGACCAAGCATAGCATGTACACTATTAGATTATTAGAGATTAGAGATTAGCTCTTTTAAAGATAAAAAAATAATCGATGTCTCAACATCAAATTGGGCGGTTAGCATGTGTTAAGCTGTTATTGGACTGTCAAAGAGTATTACGCAGTCGGCTGCACTTCAAATTGACAGTTATCAACAGGAAGCCCTGCACACACACACACACACACACGCACACACGCACACACGCACACACACGCGCACACACCTGCCGATCAGCTGCGTCTAATCAATCACAGCTCTTATCAAAGCCCCGAAACGCGCTGATTCACTTTTGGAGTGCAGTGCAGCAAAAAGATTGACCCCTAACCCCTTTGACCCCTTTCACACAGGCACAAGCCTGCATCTGGATAGCTCTGACGATAACGGCGATCTGTGCGTACACCTGCCACGTCTATATAGCCAGCGGTACGACATATGGCTCGTTCGTGAAGACGATCTTCTTCGAGGTGTACTTCCATGGCAGTTGCAAGATGTCGCTCGATTGGTATCAGAGCTTCAATTCGACCATACTGGACCAGGTCACAACGGTCTTTGATCCCACCCAGGTTCTTATCTGGGATTGCGTTTACCTCGGCGTCTCGGTTTGCTGGCTCGTCGTCTCCATCGTGCTCTTGACTTGTAAGTACGAAAGAAACTTATCTAAAACTCTTGAAAATATTTGAGAAATTCCTTGAATATGTAAATCCTTGGTATTAGGTGGGCTTGATAGGGATTTCTTTTAATGTGGGTCACTTTTTCATGTCAAGAATACCGAATTTTTCTATGACTAAATGTAGGACGGAAATTACGAACTTGATATTCGTTTATGATTCATGCGATCTAGAAACAAATAAAACGGTTTTATCTATTATAAGACATTTCAATAGTAACTTTTATTATCAAGCAGCTGAAGCCAAAGATAAAATCAAAATAATAAAAAAGACACGCACTAGTTAGGGCTGCCCGACTAGCAGCTACCGTATATTCAAGAAAATAATCTATTCTTAAATATCTTCATTTTTTTTTTAAATTCACCAATTCAATTGTAAAGTTCTTAAAGTCAATATTTATTGATATGGGAGATTTCCTCTTTCTACCTCTTTGGTATATAGCTTAGATATAAACAAGAATTGACTTGCCAATGTATTAAAAATCGATATTTATCGATATAGCGGAAAGAGGTAGATCAATTATTTGTAAACCAGAACTGATTTCAATTTTCCCACGTTCGTAAAATCAATATTTATTAATATGAAGGCTTTCATCTTTCTAACTCTTTGGTATATATTTAAGATTGACTTACCAAACCGATTGCCCAAAATATTAAAAATCGATAGTTATCGATATGGGGGAAAGAGTTAGATAAATTCGGTGTGAAACAGAACTGACTTCAACTGTCGTTCACGTTCTTAAAATCGATATTTATTCATATAGAGGAAAAAGCTATATATCGATAACTTGTATATTATCAATAAAGGAGAAAGTGTTGGTTATCGGTATTTATTTTCATTGATTGATACTCCTATCTGATCTCATATTATAGTCTATATTCCAATAGCCCAAGAGTCTTAGCTGAAATATACCCTATCTATAGAAATTTTACTGGGTATACGAATTAGTATTGCGCATGGACACAATTGAACAAAGGTAAAAACGATTGGTTTGTTTGCTTTTATGATATTCTGCTGTTGTGTAATTAACGATGAGGTTTCTCCACGATCTAACGACATACGTACGTACTTAGTTTTAAGTATTCCTTTTCAATGTCGAGCACTTTCTATCCATCGATCAGCGATGAGGGCCTTAAGTCGACTTGATAGATGTGACACATATGACTCTTACCTCTCCCTGATGTGTTTGTTTTCTTGTTGAACTCTTTTTTGCAGGCGTGCGGAAAGACGATGTCAAGAAGACCCTGGGAGCTATCTACAGTTGGGCGTTCTTTGTGGCCGCCATCTGTGCGATGGACTTGGCCTCTGGCGTCATCTTTGGCGTCGACTATGGCCGCTTCCATGACAAGGCGTTCGAGTACAATGCGAACAGCATGAATTCCGGCTATATCGATCCGAATGCGGCCCAGCTTATTGCCGGAGGCGTCGCTGCCATTGCCATGATGCTGATCTCGTTCAAGGGCTTCATCATGTGGTACATAAACCTGCATTTGCTGATCTATTTGCTGGTGCGCGCCGTGCGAATAGAACACGATAAGGATGGCTCGGTGAGTGAGTGGCTGACTCAAATGGGTTGCCGGTGACATCATCTGGCATTGCCTCATGTAATTGCCAGCGGGTATCATAAACTGCCATGTCAAACAACTAAGCTACCCCCCTCCTCCGCCCCATGAAACCAACTAAGATCAATGAGCTGTTTCCAAAAATATATGTAGACAACAAACTCGAGACTCTCGTGTGTGTAAGCGATATTAAATTGGCTCCGACTGCGACTATGACATGTCTAAAGTTAGCCAAGGAGCAGCCAGCTGATAAGCTGGAAGCGTCCAGCCGTCGATACATTGGCTTAATGCTCAGCTGATAAGCGATTGGAATTTATATGTGTCGCTGGCGTCGTTTAAATATAATATTATGTAAAGCACGCTTTAGTGGCAGCTAAAAGAATACCCTGTAAATATTAATTATAATGGCAAACGAATGCCTCTCCCAAGGTGAACCTGATTCATCAAAAATTACTGTCAATATTCCGATAATTTCAAATTATTTTATTATTCATTTCAACATCATATCAATTAATTGATAGAAAATATGATATTGAAGCTTAAAAGTAACTAAAACTTTGTTTCTGGTTAAAAACCGAATTTCATCTATCATATCTATTTATCTATCATTTATCTATCATATTTCTAATAATTATTTGATTTACTTTCAGGACACGCTCTTCATGCCGCGCAAGGATTCCAATGATATTCTCACCACCCGACCGCCCATTCGCGCCTACGAGGAGGAGAAGTGAGCGTAGCTGCCTTTTAAGTCGAGACCTTTTCTTAATTACCCTAAATGTTTTGCAGAGTGGAGGTGCAGCCGTATAACAATGAAGCCTTCATGCCGGACACTCGCTCCACTGCGGAGACCATCGAGGTGAACGAGGAGGCGATTGTGCGAGCCGCCCATATGTCGCGTGATGCGAATCTGATGGATCGCCGTTTCCGCAGCATCGATGCCTTCCAGCAGTATCCGGCGCCGAATCCGAACAATCGACCCGCGCGTCAGTCATCGCAGGGTCCTGTGCAGGAGACGATTGTTGTGGCGACATCGGGTTTCCCGATGCCTGATTACTCGCCACAGCCCAGTCCCAATGGCATTTTGCGTTCTCACTACTAAAGCAGGGAAGCGGGCGCCGCCAATGCATTTCTACATAATAATCCATATAATTCTCAAATAATTCCCGCCCCAGTAAAGCCAGCAAACAAGTAAAGCAGATAAAATTAAGTAAAAGAAAAGTGACGCCAATTGTAGTTTTTTATCAGACCGTCAGACAGTGTTATGCGTATTATTTCTTATTTATTTACGTTCTTTTAACAAAAGATGTATATACAACCTGCAATTGCAACTGTGAATACAATATACTTATACATATTAATACTTATTTGCACAACCAATATAATTAGATGTTTGTTTTTTATTCGGTTGCTGATAAGACAGCAACAAACTAATGCTAAATTTTACTGCCGATTGAATCATGTCCCCAGCAACGATTCGCTTAGCTTGACATCGGTGTCATTGTCAAATGTGCGACGTCATATGCATGGGATAATTGTGATAGTCTACATATTCACTATACAATTTGAAATTGTCTGTTGAGCGCCATTTATAAAATTAATCGATTACTCTAGCAGGGTTGCAAAAATACGAAAATAATACTAAATTCACATTTGATTTTGAGCCTTTTGCGTTCACGTTGCTCATTTGCGCGCTTACGTTGCGCAGTTCGAGCATATCCATTGAACGCAGGTCAATCAAAAGTTCACAAAAATATTCATAATATTGATAAGCCGGTCGTTTTTGACGACAGATTTTGACACTAGACAGTATTGTCGAACGTAAAACGTAGTACGCTTGCTCAATATTTCATTTCATTTCATTTTGAGACGTAGTCGCGAGCATAACACACGCCGGTGAAATTCGTTGAACAGAAATATATTACAGGCAACTAATTTGCAACAGAAAAATGGTTTTCATAACAAAATTGGCTCGTGTCGGTGTACAGGCGGCTCGCCAGCTGCGTGCCACGCCTCTTGCAGCATCACAGTGCCGCAGTTTTCACGTGAGCTGCTTGCTCGCCAAAGGTAAAGATATTTTATGCAATCACTCAGCAACGACAACAACAGTTGCCGAGACACTGAGCACACAATGCAGTTAAAACTGCAACAGGTACTCATATGTTTTTTTTTTGTAACCACTTCACAGAACGGCGCTTCACAGACAAACACGAGTGGGTCGAGCTGCTGGACGCCAACAAAGCGGTTGTGGGGATTTCTAGCTATGCACAGGAAGCACTGGGCGACGTTGTCTTCGCCCAGCTGCCCGAGCCGGGCACGGAACTCAAGCAGGACGACGAATGCGGCGCTCTGGAGAGCGTGAAGGCTGCCAGCGAGGTTTACTCGCCGGTGAGCGGCAAGGTGACGGAAAAGAATGCAGAGGTCGAGGATACGCCGGCGCTGGTCAACAGCAGCTGCTACGAGAAGGGTGAGCATACAATTGGATTATATCTATATGCATATCCACTAAAGAATACCCCTTCACACACAGGCTGGCTGTTCAAGGTCGATCTCAAGAATCCCTCTGAATTCGAGAAACTCATGACTGAGGAGCAGTACAAATCATTTCTTAGCAGCAGCACCGAACACTAGACGGCTGTCGGGAAATTGCTGTTAACCAAAACACGCCCGCTGTTAACTGTTAATCTGCACCGAAACACAACAGACTCATTCATTTTCACACCCACACATACACACCATGTTCACGTTGTTGTTGCATTTGGATTTCGTTATGCTTTAAGAATAAACTGAAAAGCCAAAAATTACACTTAAAACAATGACAATCGCAATCACAACTGACCTGCGGCTGCCCCCCCACCGAATCGCTGCGGCTGCGGATTTGATAAGACGCCGAAGAGAGTCTGCTCTGTGTGTGCGCGCGCTCTTATCAAACCACTCAAAAACCCGCTCAATGTTGGATCAGCGTCAAGCAGCGTGGCTCCGGCTCTGGCTCAGAGCGGAAATGTACGTTGAGCTCGGCATGTAACAGTCTGTTGCTGAGGCTGCGATTATCAGCTGATTACGTGAGGAAAACGCACCGTGGAAACATAGGACCCGTTAGACGGATAAGAAATTGATGGGCATGTCGGGCGACTGTCAGCGTCTGACCACGGATGCTGATAAGCGTCGCACAGCTTGAACTTGAAGGCGCGAGAAGCGTTTTCATGTGTGTGCGCGCGCGCTGAAAGCTCCCGCCGAAAGCTCTCCGAAATGGCAAAAGCTTTAAATCGCAAGAGCGCTGCGCTCAGTGCTCAAATTGAACTCGAATCGTGCGGTACAAGAAGTCGTGCGCTGCGGGTAGTAGAAAAGAACCCCCAACCCGAAAGCATTGTTCAACACATTCACACACAAACAAACAGAAACACACACACACAGGCGCTGACGGTCGAGAGGCAAACAAATTGAAAGAAAACACACGGGCATATTGAAAAGTTCTATGTGAAAAGGATAATTGTCAGAAATTTGCGAAGCCAAGTGAACAAAAGGAAAACCTACATATAATTAACAAACCATAGACAGCCAGACGCAAAATGCCAACGGAAAAATCAATATTCAATCCAAATCCGGCAATCAGCCGCAATGCCTACATATCCAGCTTCGATGAGTACAAGAAATTCTATCAGGAGTCCTTGGACAATCCGACCGAGTTTTGGTCGCGCGTTGCCAAACAATTTCACTGGGAAACGCCAGCGGATCCCTCAAAATTCATGCAATACAATTTCAACATCTCCAAAGGACCCGTTTCGATCAAATGGATGGAGGGCGCCTCGACCAACATTTGCTACAACCTCCTCGATCGAAATGTGCGCAACGGCCTGGGCGATCAGATAGCGTTCTACTGGTAAGTCAAATCAAGTCCTCTGGCCAGTTGCGTAGGTCGCATGAAAACAAAAATAAACGTGCCAAGGATATCGATTTTTCTCGTCTTCTTCTTCTTTGTGCTATGCTATTACGAAACGCAGTCATGACGTCGCCAGCCCTTCCTTGCGCGCCACCCCTCCTCTACCAACCCTTGGTCAGGTTGCGTTGCGCAGGCACACGAGAAAACAGATGTTCGCAATTTATTTGAGCTTCGGATGTTACCGTTACCGTTACTTGTCTTGGTTCGCTCTCTCAAGGACAGAGAGCCTCTGCTCTAGAATGAGCTTAAATCCGAACTGACAGCTGACTGTTAATTTATTAGTTTGAGCAGCTCTGCTGTCAGTTTTAACAGCTACTTTTGGCAGGGTCAATGTCAGGGCCCTGACCAGGCCACATAAAATATGAATTCGAGTTCTAGGATTGCAAATTTGTGTGTTTTGCGTTGTTTTTAATTTGTTTGTTTACTGCACGCGCAAATTTTTAATATTAGATATGCTGCTTCCAAGCAAACGAATGCAAATACTCCAAATATATTGCTTAGGGCTTGAATATATTACAAAACTTTCCCAGACATTATTTGACGCGCTTACAAATGAAATTTGTAATCGGAATTAATTATTTTTGTGTTTATCAAAGTATAATTAAACAGGTGCTGCCTATGTCTGTGTGCAGTTCAGTCGAGTGCTCTTCAAAAGTCATAAACGCCCTCAGATTGCAAAGTAAATGCGTCTTACAGTTTATATAAATATAGTTGTTGATTGTTGTTTTTTTTTTTGTGTGTGGAATGTTTTGCTTCTTGTAGGTTATCGGGCACAAGGTTCAAATCAATCTCGACATCTTGCTGCCTGTCGAGCCGTCACACCAAAAAATAAAACAAAAATGTTAATTCTTTAATCTCGGGGGTTATCACCGCAGTTCAACTATGGACGCGTGCGAAAAGAAATGCAAATGATTGGGGAAACGGAATCGGAATCGGTATACAAATAGATTATTAAGTCAGGTATATGAAAGGCAAACGCAAGGTCAAACCGTTGTCTGAGTCCCTGCTCTCCCGAGTCTGAAATTTGAAAATTATTAAACTCAAATCCCAAACACAATTAGTCCATCAGTTAGATAAGATAAAGGCGCGTACCTTAGCAATTTGCACGTAATGGGCAATAATTAACACAGCTCGCTGGAAAAAGAAAATAATAAATAGATAATACACAGGCACAACAATAAAGGTAACTCAAAGCAAAGCAAGGCAAACAGGCAAATCTTTTTTTTTTTTTTTTAATTTTTACTGGACTATAAAAATAAAACGAGTCGTTTCTTTAGATACAAGCGCAAGTACACACACACAAGCAGACACGCACACAAACACAAGCAGACACGCATACACAAACACAGACACACGTGCAGCTCCGAAAAGTGCTTATATAAGCGAACGATTAGCACAAAGCGCGCAAATTGTTTATTCAAATTGATTTCGCTTCGAACGCACAAAAATCAAATTAAATATTTCGCGCCTCACAATGTGTGTCAGTCTGGCGTCTAGCAATGGACAACGGCGACAAGGTGCGCGGAAAGAGTGCCAGTGTCAAATGTTAAGACGATGAGCTCGAGCCGCGCGTCGAGCGCAGCTTCCGTTTTGCAGGTCAAAGCGCAGCCACACTTACAGTTTTGGCTGCATTGTGTGTCGCGCAAAAATCACGCGATCATATCGTCCGATTACTCACAACCAATCGCAGCGAGAATTTCTACGCATTCACACATGCACTAGGCGGCTAAAACGTGTCTGTGTATGTGTGTGTGGGTGGGTGAGCAAAAGAAACAAAGATAATGTTAATGCTGACACACCTAAAGTTCGAACGAAAGGGCAACAGCAGCAGCATAAAGGGGGGAGGGGGGGGGGGGGGGCAATCGTCATATGTTTGTCTGGTTCACCTCTTTGTCGCATTTTGTCCACGTTTTTGTTATCATTTTCGCAACAGTAATTGGAATCCATGTGTTGAATTGCCCTCATTATGGTAGTATACAACTGTGCGTATCTTTTATCTCAGTCGAATGCAAAACACAAATTCATAATCAAAACATTTTGTATAATGTTGCATAAATTAGAGTCTGCGGCTCGTCTAGTCGAAAATCATACGATGTTGCTCTCAAACTGTTGGGCCAGAGCCAGACATAGCGACGCTTAAAAAAGCTGCAGCGCTTTTACTTCTTCACGCAATCTACTTAAAGCTAACACAACAACAAATGAAAACATTCGATGCGATTTGTTTTAGTGTTGTTTTGTTGTTTTATTTTTTTAGCTTTCAGACACGCGAATCAACAGCTGCTTGTGCTGAGATAATTATTGTTGTTGTTGTTGTTGTTGCTTTAGCCGGCTGTTCTGCCTCACATGATTTCAGCTCGTTCTTCCCAACACGCCTCTTAAAAGTGGAAGCTAAATTCGCGATACTTTTGATTTGTGATAAGCGCCAGCCACGCGTCTATCTGCTGCTAACGGCGGTCAAGATCATGAGGTTTCCATTTTCGATTGGTTTCCAGGCAGCATTAAAATGCTCATGGCTGCGCAATGCCAGGCAAATTGATTAGCCCAAAGATTGTCTGGCGACAACGCGGCCTCAAGTATTTCGTATTGGGAATTAAAAGCATTTCGGCATTACGTTAACATGGGGAAAAATCGCGCCATCGGGCAAAACGATTAAAGCTCCCTTCTAGTTAGTCATTTGCGGAGAATGTTCACAAAGGTTTGACAAGTACACATCAACGTAATAGTAAGTGCGATCAGTGCTTGTGAAACTGGGCAGCGAGAGAGAGAGAGAGAGAGCGTGCTAGAGCAATACTTTTACCTTGGCCTTGAATTAGGCAACGGTCTGCTTAACAGCGCTGTTAGTTTTAACAGACTCTGTAATGTGGGTATGCCGGCGTTTAGCTGAAAATTGATCAATAATTTCCGTTGCTGTTTGTTTTTGTTATATTTTTAACGTCTTACTAATTAAATACAATTTCGAATAGGCTGAATATTATTTCACGAGGAAACAACAGCAGCTATCGCGCCAGCTCATAGCATATTCAAGAAAAAGTGAACTTCGCACCCGCCTTTCGATGTGTGCTTCGCTAAAATAACTTCGAATACGTCATGATTGCGACCTGGTTCTATACGCTACCTGATTGTCTTTGGCGTTCAGAGACTAGCCAAATCGTTTATGGCGGCAACTGAATCTTATCGATCCATATGACAAAGCCAACCAATTTAGTCAATGATTTACAGATATTTATGGTATTTGACTCATTTAAAGAAAACATATTTTTTTTGCTTGGGTTTTGTGTCATACGGCCCGTTGTCTAGAACTGCGACAGCTGACCTAGACCAAGACCTGCAGGTGGCTTTCTCTATTGTGCACCTGTCCTTGGACAGTCTCGTCAAAATCCGTTCTATGTGCCGACCCGTCACGATTTTTTTATTTGTTTCTGTGCGCGCTCGATTGTGCATTACATTTGTTGTTAAATTTTATGCATTTTGTATTTGGGTGCCATTAATTATACCCAGGCAATTCAATGGATAACACTGTTGCTTAAAAGTATGCGCACCAGCAGGTTTTGTGAACTGTGGTTCATTTGAGCAGGAATTGTTCAAGTTCCTTGACATTAATGTCTTCCAAGTAATACGTCTATATTAGACTTAACCGAAGTTATAATTATTTAAAATAATGTATTTTACAGCTTCTATCTAAAACTCTGTTCCAATTCTTTCTATTTTTTGTATGAGAAGAAGGGTTAATTAATTGCAAATATTTGCGAATGATAATTCCTTTGAGTCTATGAATCTCTAAAATGCTGAAGAAAACAATCTAAAATAAGAATCATTTCTCTCTAAATGCATTGTAGCTGTATCGAATATAATCGTTGATTTGTCTTAAGCTAAATCTTAGTTTTACCCGTGTACGCACAACTTTATTGAACACTGTAAAAAATGATATATATTTATATATGCGGTATATATCGTTGTCGGCATTGCAGCTGTTGACTTTTGTGGCTATTGTGCCGGCCATTGGCTTCGGTTGCCAAGTTGAGAATTAAAGGGAAAGGCGCGCCACTTAGCTAGCAGCGGGGCGGGAAAGGGGAAAGGGGAAAGGCGAATAGTGAGTCGGGACGCAACAAGACCCAAATGACAGCCACTGTCAGGCAGCTTATCAAATCAGCAAATTATGTTGCAAATTCAAATTAAGTTGCGAGCGACAATTAGGAAGCCTCAAATTGCTGTAAGTGATCCAATTGATTCGGAACGGAACGTGGGCGTTCAGAAGTGGCTAAGTAGCCTATCTCTCCCTATATAGCCCGTATACCCTGTAGCTGATGGAGCTTATTGATGGGCTGCTCATTTTTGGGCACATTGCCAACCGATTAATAATGTAGTTCCGCATTCATTGTCCATATTGCAGGGAGGGCAACCACCCCGATGACTATTCGCGCGGTCTCACCTACCGCAAGCTGCTGGAGGAGGTTTGCCGATTCGCCAACGTGCTGAAGGATCATGGCATCAAGAAGGGTGATCGCGTCTCGATTTATATGCCCATGATCCTGGAGCTGCCCATTGCCATGCTGGCCTGCTCACGCATTGGCGCCGTGCACTCGATTGTCTTCGCGGGCTTCTCGCCGGATTCCCTGGCGGAGCGGATGTTCGATTGCAAGGCCAAGCTGCTGATTACGGCCGATGGCGCTTGGCGTGGTGAGAAGCCGCTTTACCTGAAGGCCCTGTGCGACACGGCCCTGGAGAAGGTCGACGAGATGGGTCACTCCGTGGAGAAATGCATTGTGGTGTCACATCTGAAGCGCGTTACGCCCTGCCAGGAAAACCATGTGGAGCAGGATATACCGTGGACCGATGATCGCGACTACTGGTGGCACGAGGAAATGGAGGACAAGGAGCCGGCCTGCTATCCCGAATGGATGGACGCCGAGGATCCATTGTTTATGCTCTACACGAGCGGCTCCACGGGCAAGCCCAAGGGTGTGCTCCATACCACGGCAGGCTACTTGCTGTATGCGGCCACCACCTTCAAGATTGTGTTTGACTACCATCCCGGTGACATCTACTGGTGCACCGCCGATGTCGGCTGGATCACTGGACACACCTATGTGGTCTACGGTCCACTGGCCAATGGCGCCACTTCGGTTATCGTAAGTCATACCGCCAGCTGGCCATGGTGGAGCAATTACTAACCTTTTTATCCATTTTAATTGTAGTTCGAGGGCACACCCTTCTATCCCGGCAACGATCGCTACTGGAGCGTCATTGACAAGTATAAGGTCACCCAGTTCTATACGGCGCCCACGGCCATACGTGCGCTCATGAAGTTCGGCGAGGCGCCGGTGCTCAAGCATAATCTCAGCGGTCTCAAGTAAGTGCACCACACAATGCCAAAGCAGATGATCATAAAACTAATGTTCTCGTCTTTGCACTTTACCACAGGGTTTTGGGCAGCGTTGGTGAGCCGATTAATCCGGAGGCTTGGCTCTGGTACTATCGCAACATTGGCAAGGAGCAGTGCTCCATTGTGGACACATTTTGGCAAACGGAAACTGGCGGTCATGTCATAACGCCTCTGCCCGGCGCCACGCCCATGAAACCAGGCTCTGCTGTACGCAAAATGATATTAATTGACTTGGCTCAATGTGCATAATATAATTCTCTTCTCTTGCAGACGTTTCCCTTCTTTGGCGTCAAGCCCTTGCTGCTGGATGAGTGCGGAATTGAGATCAAGGGCGAGGGCGAGGGCTACCTGGTATTCTCGCAGCCCTGGCCGGGCATGATGCGCACGCTGTACAACAATCATGAGCGCTTCGAGGACACATACTTCTCCAAGTTTCCCGGCTACTATTGCACTGGAGATGGTAAGTCTGACTGGCATATAGATCCATGCATATCCTTATACATGACAAATCTTGCCAATACAGGAGCTCGTCGCGATGCTGATGGCTATTTGTGGATCACTGGCCGTGTGGATGATATGTTGAACGTGTCGGGCCATCTGATGTCCACCGCCGAGGTGGAGTCTGTACTCACGGAGCATCCCCGTGTCGCCGAATCGGCTGTGGTATCCCGGCCGCATCCGGTCAAGGGCGAGTGCCTCTATTGCTTCATAACGCCCAACGAGAATGAGGCATTCGACCAGAAGCTGATCGCCGACCTCAAGAAGATGGTGCGCGAACGCATTGGACCCTTTGCCATGCCAGATGTTATACAAAATGCGCCCGGCCTGCCCAAGACGCGCTCCGGCAAGATAATGCGTCGAGTGCTGCGCAAGATAGCCGTCAACGATCGAAATGTGGGCGACACCTCCACGCTGGCCGATGAGCAGATTGTGGAGCAGCTGTTCGCCAATCGACCCGTGGAGGCCAAGTAGACAGACAGCCCCAGACCCAGACAGAGACCCAATGTCCGACCCCAGTTACTCTTCTTTGGATTCTAGCTTCTAGCTTAACTCCTCTGCAAACCTCAACTTAGACATAGTTTGCTGCGTTCGCATTTAGGCTGGCCAATTCGACCAGTTAATATCCACGTATGCTATTTACGTGAAACTTGTAAATCTCCCCCCAATCCTTTCTATCCAATACATATATATATATTTCCTATGTTTAGCGCCAACTGTTGGCCCCGCTCGGGGCTTACAGATTCCACCTAGTTCTTAAGCTGTGTGCGTAAGTAAGGATCATATGCACTTAGGCACCCGTTATTTTCGATATATACGTTATACATATATTGATATTTTGAATGTGTGAATTGGTTCTGAATCGTATACATAAATGTCTTTATAGAATGTAGTTAATATGCTGAGCACGCACATTTTTCTTCACAGTTCTTTTGTTTGTTTGTTGTAGTCGTAGCCTAAGTTCTTGCTAAATTCGTTGTGATACAAATTTAATTATATTGATTATGTATGTATTTTTAGTAGAATTGATAAAACAAAATATATACACGATTTCAGTAATACCCATTAACAACACATTAACACTCCATTTTGATTTTATCCTATAGCGCACATCTTTTGCAGTATCTTTTTCAAATTATTTATATCGTTTTGCTATATTCTCCAGCCATTTACAGCACCAGCCTAAGCTAAGGAGCCCGTAAGTCCGGATTATATATCTATCTATCTATATATTTATATATTTGTGGTTTCGTATGGACGATATTTACTAGACGTTCCGAGCGTTTGTTAGTTTTTAAGATTGGAAAAGATACATATCAATGTGGCATAATGCTTATCAACATTCCTAAATACTAATTTGATATACATATTTAATCAGCTATATACATATACATATATATCGCTATATAGTCGAAAAAGACTTCCCGCAACGAGAACATATCATTGAAGAAACTCTGCTAAAAGAAACACAAAATATATTATATACATATCATTATTGTTACTCGTTTTCCCGATGTTCAGTCAAGACTATATCGTATCTCTCAGCTGAACATGGCTTAAACAGACCACAGTAGTATTGTTATTGTTAGTTATCAACGTTGGTGAACGCATCGAAGAGAGTTATGAATGGAACGTAAGTGCTTCTTGATCCTAAAGGGGGGCGGTCGCAAGTAACGCCCCCGTCTGATTGTAAAAAGTTGTCTAGGTTTTTAGTGTGTCGATGCAAGGAGATTAGCTACACTTATTTAGCCCTGATATAAATACATGTGAATTGTACCAGATATGTACATACGAATATATATATATATATTTATCGAATCATATATGTGTATAATAAAGTTTATTGTTTCAATGTGTTTAAAGTACTGTATATACGCGTTTTCATATCCATTGAAAGTCCTTTCAAGAAAATGTTCTAAAAAAAAATTATAGATAATCCTAGTGCTTGCTAGGAACGAAAACGTGCAACCCTTGACTTAAACGTTTTTAAAGCCAACACATTTTCATTATTTGTTTAACTTAAACCCAAGTGCAAAACTTGTCAGAATGCAAGTACTTTTAAGAGCCGTGCCCTACCATTGTCCCGGCAGACAATTCTCGACGGTGGATCGCGATCGGGCGTGTCAGCTTGTCATGCAACTAACCCGGGAGGCCGGAGAGGTAGTCGTATCATTAGAGTTCGTAGCATATTATGGATAACCACCGGAAAATATTTGCAGCTGATAATGAAGGGGCAGGAGCAGAAGCCCGAGTTCAAAATAAAGGAACATCAGCGCGATCTGGTGACAAAGACGGACAAGGCTGTGGAGCGCCTGCTGGTCGGTGGCATAAGGAAACAGTTTCCCGATCACCAGATCATTGCCGAAGAAGGCACCGAGGGCACCGCCAAGAGCTGGGTTCTGAGCGATGCGCCCACCTGGATCATTGATCCCGTCGATGGCACCATGAACTTTGTGCACGGCTTCCCCCACTTCTGCACATCGATCGCCCTGTACGTGGAGAGGAGGGCCGTGCTCGGCTGGATTGACAATCCCATGCTGAGGCACACATATGTCGCGCAGCGAGGGAGTGGATTTTACTTCAATGGACACCCGATGCGGGCCAGCGGACAGCGGGATCTCAAGCAGTCGCTTGTCTGTCTCGAGTGGAGCATGGATCTGGGCGAAGATGGCAAGGATTCGGCCTCGCCAAATATCTTCAAGCTGCTGCCCATGGTGCACGGGTGAGTGGAGCCTCAGATGCTTGTTCGTTTGTGTGTGCGACTCCAAAGTGCTTTTCCAGCGTACGCGCCCTCGGCTCAACGGCACTCAATCTGGCCCAGGTGGCTATTGGTGCCTGCGATGCCTATTTGCAGTTCGGCTCACACGTTTGGGATTGGGCTGCAGGCGTTCTGATGGTCGAGGAGGCAGGAGGTGTGGTCATCGATCCGTGCGGAGGGCCATTTGATATATACGCGCGTCGCATGCTGGCCACGGCAACGCCCGAGCTGGCCGAGCAAATGGTGCCCCTGGTGAAGCAGCTGTTCCCCCAGCCCCGTGACGACGAGCCAACAAATCCAGGGAAACAGGCAAAGCCTTAAGCATGCCTTGACTACGATCAGCTGAAAAGCTATGGCGTGTGTGGGGAAATAAATCATTTTAAATTTTCAAGTGTTTAAAGAAAGCCAAATGCAAAGCATAATTAGGGGTTTCTTGACAAGCAGTCGCCGCCAGTGCCAGGCTCCGCCTGCAACTGCTGCTGGCCCATCTGTGCAGGCAGTGTCACAGGGACGAGATGACAACTGTCGTCTTGGCATGGACAAATGCCTCGAGCTGGGCCGTAAAGGCGTGCGGCAGCAGATGCACGCCTTCCGGACGAAGCTCAGCCACAAGATCACGGCATGCAGATGGGACACGCTGATCGAGGATGTGCTGGTGCGGGACACCGCGATGCATTCGCCAAATGAGTAGGTAAACCCAACCAGCTGAAGCTGATGCAGTGCTAATCCAGTCCTTGCCCAGATTCATAGCCGAGAACAAGGCTGATGAGTCCATATGGCTAGTGGATGCCATCGATGGCTCCGTTAAGCTTTCCCCCGGGTGTCCCAATGCTGCCGCTGCGTGGCAGATGGGCTCTGCAATGCTGACTGGGCCGCAGCCGGGCGGCATAGTCGTGGATCCCCCAGTGAAACCTTTCGATTTAATGAGCCGCTGTCTGACCCCGTCAGAACCAGGAGTCAATGCAACAATTATTCAACCAGCGGACCAGGACTCTGATCAGATCGATGAGCCGTATGTGACAACAGTCAAAGAGATGGACGCAGGGAAAGCCAAGAAATCACCAGATAAAATCTGTCCACAAAAGCCGAGAATTCGTAAGCAGAAAAGGAAGCCCGCAAGACGGCCACCCAGAAAGCCTGCTGGGACACCTAATAAACATGACGGCCCGCCAGCCGGTGACCCTTGCCTGCCCGGCTACACTATGTAGATCGTGTGTCGGAATGAAAGCCATCAAAGACGACTCACTTACCAGTGATTCGTATTTGTATCTCTCTCATTCCCACACGAACCAGAACCATGCTAGATAGAAGCTAGCCTCGAAAGTGACTGGATTTGATACGGTCACAGTTTCGTATTTGGATTCAAGCAGGCGCAGTTTATATTATTAAAAAATATTTAACAAGTTTGGAAAATAAACTACTGATCGCCATATAAAAATGTTTCGATTTGCGTGTCAGCGACTGCTACCACGAGAAAAGACATCCTTTCGCAGGAATGCGACTGCAAAAGGCCGAGTAGATGTTGACCAATGTGCTGTGGAGGTCTGTCATCTGGTCGACCGGGCTGCGGAGGTAAGAATTGAGCGGTAAGCAGACATAGAGTGCTCCATTGAGAATCCCCTGTCCGACTGACAGCACCTAAGGGCGGCCAGTGGGAAGATGCGCGTCTTTGAAACCAAGCTGAACAGCAAGGATCTGGTTACGGCCACGGATCGCGAAATTGAGGAGCTGTTGATAAGGGGCCTACGGCAACGCTTTCCCGAGCATGTTTACATTGACGAGGAGGGCACCGCTGGGGCATCCACTGGCCGCAAGCTGACCGAGGAGCCCACCTGGATCGTTGACCCCATCGATGGGACGACAAACTTTGTGCACGGCTTTCACTGCAGCTGCATCTCGGTGGGCTTCTGGCTGGACAAGCGGCCGGAGCTGGCCATTTGCCACAATCCCACATTGCAGCTCGTCTTCACGGCCCGTCGCAATCGTGGCGCCTATCTGAATGGTGCACCCATACGGACAAGTGGACAGACCGAGCTGGAGCGTTCGCTGATTATGCAGGAGCTGAACGCCGCGAATCTCGGATGCGAGCACAGGGACATACTATGGCAAAATGCAGTTGGGATGCTGCTCAAGGCACATGCGTAAATAGTAGAATAGAATATAAAGCCGACTATACTTTAGCTCGCATGCCACAGCCTGCGTACCACGGGCTCCGCCGTGATGGACATGTGCCTGGTGGCCATGGGCGCTGCCGATGGCTATTACGAGTTTTATCCGCATGCCTGGGACTTGGCAGCGGGCACTCTGCTCGTCCGCGAAGCGGGTGGCGTCGTCATGGATCCAGCTGGCGGCGATTTCGATCTCATGTCCAGGCGCGTCCTGGCCGCTGCCACGCCCCAGCTGGGCAACCAGATGGTCCAGCTGCTGGGTGACAAACAAATCTATCATCAACGAGACGATGAGCCCCAGAAATCCAACTCCAACTCCAATTCTATATTCAAGTAGGATCCAGCGTGTGTGAGTAGGCAAATAAATGTGGCTGGCATTGAGCCAGATATCAAAATGTGTAATTGTTTTTCGAGATTCGTTTAGATATATACACACACACACACACACCCAGGTACCGTAATAGTTTTCGGGTCCGGTCCAGTCAGATCATTTGTTTGAGAGCATGCAACTCTTTGATGGCAGTTGGTAGATAAGAAACATCAGCATCAGACGTATCCTCTTGCTAGCCAATTGATTGCCATGGCCGATCAGAAGAAGGGAGCGGAGAGTCCCAGCCCGAAGGTACCAGAGAGGGAGGTACTGGAAAATGCGGCCACCAGCTATGGGCTCGAGGATCACGAGGCGACCGCTCAGGATCCGCGGGTGAATGAGTTGAAGAATTCACGCTCGACGCATTTGCGTAGGTCCTTGACGCCGTCCACGAAAATGGGTCCTACCTCAAAGCCCGTGTCTCGGAGCCCGAGCTTTACTCGACATACAGGGCCACGTGAAGAGCCAAAGGCAAAGGAAGCACCAGCAGCAGAACAGTCCGAACCTGAAATTAAAAATGCGGCGCGTAACTATGGGTTGGAGGATCATAAGACTAATCTACAAGATTCGCGTGTTGCTAACATGCACAATCCCCGTCCAAAGACGCCGGTGAATCAAAGTCGCGATCAGTTGACGCCTATTTTGCAGTCGACTTCAAAGACATCCGAGCCCGTGCCGGCTAAACCCGTCAAAGAGGGCCCTCACCCGGTTACCAGCTTTAGTCCGTCAGCAGCCGCATCCACATCCGCCTCTCGCACTGCACCTGCTCCAGCCGCACCACCCGCTGCAGCCGCTCCACCCGTTGCAACCGTTCCACCTACTCCATCCGCTGTAACCGCTCCACCCGTTGCAACCGTTCCACCTACTCCATCCGCTGCAACCGCTGCACCCGTCCCACCACCAGCAGCTAAAGAGAAAATGAAATCGGCCTCTAAATTCACCAATACCGATGTCACGTTCGATCCGTCAAAGGAGTTCGCGTCAAAGACCACAAATACCGCGGGTAATCTTTACACAGATGATGAAGGGGCCGCACCAGCGCCAGCGCCGCCAGCACCGATACCAGTTAAGGAGGAGAAGCCTGCATTTGATTTGGATGAATGTTATGTTTTCGCCGTTGCATTGGTGAGGAAGGCAGGTGCCATCGCACTGGAATCCAACAAGGAGCGGCTCTCGTTTACCACCAAGGATCACGAGAAGGATCTGAACACGCGTGCCGACACTGAGATCGAGGAAATGCTAACGAAGTCCATTTTGGAAAAATATCCCGAGCACAAGTAAGCCACAGCGAGCCGCAAAGCCAGCTTCATTTAATATTTGCATACTTCTACAGAGTCATCGCCGAGGAGGCGGTCTCACAGACGGAATCCCGACAGGTGACACTCACCGATGCGCCCACCTGGATAATAGACCCCATCGACGGCACCATGAATTTCGTTCATCATTTTCCCTACTATTGCATCTCTGTGGCGCTAATGGTTGATAAGCAAACCGCATTCGGGATTGTGTTTAATCCACCCTTGCAGGAGTTTTATACGGCGCGAAAGGGCAAAGGCGCTCAGCTAAATAACGAGCCGATGCAGACCAGCGGCCAGGAGAGCCTGAAGAGTGCCATGATCCTGCAGGAGTACAGCTCTGGCATGCACGAATCCCGCACATCAGCATCCATGGAGAACGCCAAGCGGCTCATAGGGAAGACGCATGCGTAAGTTCACATTAAAATCCACCAACCAAAACATAGTGTAGGAATCAACCAAGTTCAACTTTGCCTCCAGCTTACGTTCAATTGGTTCCTCAGCCATGGGACTGGCTATGGTTGCTTCTGGTGTGGCAGATGGGTTCTACTTCTTCGGATTACATGTGTGGGATATGGCGGCTGGCAATCTTCTAGTGACCGAGGCGGGCGGCACTGTCATAGATCCTGCTGGCGGCGAGGTGGATATTATGTCACGTCGCGTACTGGCTGCTGCTACAGAACCACTTGCCAAGGCTCTGTCCAGCGAGCTCGTCCAAAACTATCCGAAGCCACGGGATGATGAGAAAAGAACAGAGAGTGAACCCCTTAAAAAGGATTTCACAGCGCAGACAGAGTTTTCTGATACTAGTTTATCATTAGATTCGGACAGTTCAACATACAATAAAATTCGATAGCCCAAGCAAATGAACCAGCTGCTCATCAAGAGTTTAATTCCATCTAAAAGCATGTAAACCAGTAAACATTTTGGTACACAAATAACGGTTGTTTTCCCTTGTTTGTTTTCTCTTTAAATTAAAAGTCGATTACTATCGATAAGTTTGTATCGCCGCACCGCTACCTCATTTTGCTGCACTTTGAACGTATATGCAGATTTTTAATGTTTGCACACTTTTACAGCACTAGACAAACAGCTGTTCACTACGAGCATTCATTCGTTGTCCGCAAACTTAATTCAATTACGCATTTGCAATTAACTGGACGTGAAAAAAAAGAAACCGCAACTGACTTCCAATGGCAGACAGCGTAGATTTGGGCAACTGCTTCGAGATCATCAACAACCTGATCACAGAGGCGGGCCGGGTGAGTGTGTGTGTGTGGGGCAGTCCTCGGCAAATAATTTACAAGGCTCTTTGCACAGCTGATTGCGCGCAACAATGATAACCGACAAGAGTTTGTGTGCAAGTCCGGGGACATTGATTTGGTCACTCAAACCGATCAGGATGTGGAGAAATTGATAATGGATGGCATTCGTCAGCATTTCCCAGATCACAAGTAGCCGCATGCGACACGAATGAAAAGCGAAATGCGTAATAAATCTTTTCCAGGTTCATTGGCGAGGAAGAGAGCAGCTCCGGAGGCGGTGTCAATAAGCTGACCGATGCGCCCACATGGATAATCGATCCAGTGGACGGCACAATGAACTTTGTGCATGCATTTCCGCACTCTTGCATTTCCGTTGGCCTCAAGATTAACAAGGTCACCGAAATTGGCATCGTTTACAATCCCATTCTGGAGCAGCGCTTTACGGCACGCCGTGGCCAAGGTGCCTACTACAACGGACGCCGCATACAGGCAAGTGGTCAACGAGAGCTGAACAAGGCGCTGGTAACTAGCGAATTTGGTACCTCACGCGACGAACAAAAAATGCAGGTGGTCAATGAGAATTTCGCCAAAATGGCCAAGCATGTGCACGGGTAAATTTCAGTAATCTTTAATAGCAATTGGCCATTAATCCGATTTTCATGTTATACTTAGATTGCGTGTGCTGGGATCAGCGGCTTTGAATATGGCTATGGTGGCGCTTGGCGCTGCCGATGCCAACTACGAATTCGGCATTCATGCCTGGGACGTCTGTGCTGGTGATCTGATTGTACGGGAGGCGGGTGGAGTAGTCATTGATCCAGCTGGCGGCGATTTTGACATCATGTCACGCCGCGTACTGGCCGCAGCTACGCCCCAACTGGCCCAGGAGCTGTCCAAGGTGCTGACGCAATACCACCCCCAGCCCCGCGACGATTAAGCGACGCAGACCATAAATCGTCGCCATCTGTGCATTTGATGACTAACCAAACAGCATTTGATCATTATGAAAACAGTACCTTTAATGAAATTCCATTGTTAATCAAATCTAATCTCGAGACGTGTACACAATACAGTTATACCTATATACTACAAAATCGTGAGCTACCCGGCTTTGTGTGGGCTCTGCTTTATTCTTCTACTTTTATATATCACTTCTCCACTTATTGGAATAGTTAAATTTTGCAGTCCAGCTAGATATTTTATTGTATAAAATAATAGGCGTCAAAAAATATTCCAACAAAATCATTAAGCAAGTTTGACATCATGACCAAACCGTTTTTTATCCACAGTTTTTATGTAACCACTTGATTGTTATTTGCATTGAATGCCAATCGATAGTACGCTTTTGTACAAATTCAAGAAGGTATTACTTTAAAAAATCTGTTGTTATTTACGCGAGATATTCAACAAAAAATCATCAAAAAAGTTTATATTTTCGAAACGACCCCGATTTTTCGAAAAAACGTGATGTGACTCCTTGCCATTTGGCCGATTTGGGTCAAAAATAGGTTTTTTGATTTCAATCGATAGTACTGATCCTTACGAGTCCAAAATGGATTTATAGTAGGGATCCCTACAAATTCAAAAAGGTATAACATTTCAAAA